AGTGACAAGCTCTTTGTTTACTTCAATCGATTATAAAGGAAAGGTGACCTAGTTGAATGCGTATCCTTAATTTTTAACTAGCAGCTTTTTTTTTGTCCCAAGACGGTTTACTTAAAGTTTGTACACAATTTAATGAAATTATCGTCATTATTCGACGGTGACTCAATCAAGTGCGGTCATTGGCTCGGGGATTGGCTCCTCAATCAATTTGGGAGCCCTTTCAGCCAGCTCAAACCATAGACTTTGGGTTGGAGATATTGTGGTTTGTGGTTACCTAGGGCGATATTTCTCGGGAGGGGGCCACCACTGCGGCTACTCAATTTGTTTGTCGGGTATCTATTTAAATGGCCTGTGTCACATTAATTAGCCATGAGGCATAAATGAGTGATTGCGATCGATTGTCGCGGTTGGGAGGCTTTTGTTTTTTGGGATCCGGCTTCCAATTGATTTTTAGAGGTGTCACATAAAATATTCAATGTCTATATTGCTAAATATTTATCAATGACAGAGGTGTTCAATAATAAATGATTTCCCTTGTTCTCTGTATGTTTGAGAACTTTTTCGAAGTATACTTCTAGGCGAATAATATATTTATCTTCGTTAAGAAGTTCAAAAGAGTGTATGGAAAAATAACAAATAATTTAAATCTAACCATTAATGCTTAAAAACAAATATTATTATCAATTTTGACAAAATACATAAATCCACTATAAATAATATTGATTCAGCAATCATTTTTTTTGTTTTTAAGATACATTTTGAAGCCGTTTAAAGTAAAGAATTATTAAATTTTGTAAACAATATTAAAAAATCAACCATAAAAAAATTAACAAATAAATAAATGCAAAGATGAAAAAATAATATAAGCTAGTTTTTAAAATCTGGTTACAATTTCTATTTTTATAGATGCAACAAAAATAATAATATTTAAAAATGGGTAAAAAAGGTTTTTGTTTTAAAAGCCATTAGTTAAAAGCCTAATAAAACGACTAAAAGCCACCTCTACATTTCTGATGCCATTTTCGGCTAATTTAGTCTAATGTTTACCTCCAAAAGCTCGACTTAAATCGGTCTGCTAATGGCGTCAGGTTTACTTTTCTGGTAGCGCCCCCGCAGTTCGACCCCCACCGAACCTTTCCAAAATCGTTGACCATTGTGTCGCTTGGCCATTATTTCATTATGATAATTTTGCCAGCCTGTTTTGTGGCTATCTATAAAGTCGTTTTGCCGCCGCTCAGCTGACGCAGCTGACTGACTTTTTGGCAATAATTTTGTGTGCCAACGACAAACAAAACAGAATTTTAGTATTGAATTGTGATTCAGTATCTGAAAAAGCAACACAAACAGAATTTTTGACAATGCAATTAACGTGAATTTGTTATTTTGCAAAGAAATGACTTCAGATTTTTAGTGTGTTTAGCTGGCAAACGTTTAAGTTATATAATTCTATTGTTGCTCCGTGGTTCAAGTTCTCAAACAAATCATAATGCTTGAATAATTATTGATAACGATTTTCGAGTTTGCCGTGCAAAAATTTCATTCTTATCTCTCTCTGATTTTTGTCGGCTTATGTTGAACGATAAGTTAACATCATGCTAAAACAAAAGCAAATAAGTGATTACAATTGTGGTTGACTCATAAATCTTGAAAAAAATCAGTGATTCTGATACAGTGGAAATTTCAGTGAAGAACAACTCATAATGTTGAGAAAATGGTGAAACAAAAGTGTTTAAAAAACCTTGAAAAGTATTCTTGAATTTAGTGTACAATTTTTGTACTGCATACTTTCAGAGAATTTCTTTGGTAGTTTAAAATCTCTTTTTTTTTTTTTTTTAATTTTTTTTATTGTCGCCGGAATCGTTCAGGGCCATCTGAACATAACCGGACGTTTAGAGGATTCTTGTGCTTTTTCATATTTTAATTTCAATTATACCAAATGTGCTGGAGAAATATAGCCATTTGGTTTTTCGTAAAAATGTTTGTTTTATGACTTTGTTTATATGACTTTCAAATTTCTAATATTTGTATTAAATATAGTTTGGCTGGTCTAAAAGAATTCCAGCAACGCAATACAATCAAGGGATGTAAACAAATGTAAAATTCAAATGACTTGCCAGAAAGTCAAAATATACAAAGCACCTCAAAGTACCTAACTTCGCACTTAGCAATTAAGCATTGTTTAAAAATTAGCATTCCCTCGAAAGTGGCATACGGATACAGAAATTAACAAAACCGTTTAACCTTAACTTTCTAAGCTAATCAAGTTTATATTTTGCTTATGATTTCATGGAAGCCCCACAATAGCACTCCAGTCGTCCGCTGTTTATTCCAGAAATCGAAAGCTGCTTCCAGCTGTCAGCAGATTGGCGCAGTGCCAAAACATTTCTAATGTCCGATACCAAGCGCCCAGCAAATTAGTAGCTGTACGCTGGCAAGCGATTTGCCATCGATTCCAGTGCGCGAAAGAGAGGGCATGAGGAACGAAGCGAGATGGATGGCAATCAGCAAAAAAGTTGAAGGCTTTGTTAGAAACTTATCTGCGTTTAGCTACCTTTTCGTATGTCGTATGTCGTATTTTTGTATTTTCGTATTTCCAGGTGAACGGGGGAAGCTTTCGAAGCTTCGGCTTCAGTTGGGCACTAGAACTTCGACTTTGACGTTGTGTCGATCGAGCGACAGCTATATAGACTTGATAGCTATCGGAAACTACACTGCACTACATAGTCGGTTCCGGGAATTGTAGTGATTTTCCCACACCCCCAGTTGTGGTTTTCGAGTCGCCGATTGATTTCGCCCTTTAAAAATAGCCCCGTGTTTGTGTGCGTGTGTTTTTTGTTTAGTTTTCCTCAACTTCACTCTCTGAGTGTGTGTGCCTTGACTTCGTCTAAAGAAATTGCGGGGGAAAGCGCGGATGCGGAAAACCTGCCAAAAACTGACGCAATAGGGCAAAGTTAAAATGTTTGTTTAGGTCGCTGCCAAATTCAACTACTGTTATTAGTCGCAAACGTTGGCAATTACGCGCAAACTTTGGCACTTGGATGCGAGGCACTGAGATCATTATTTGATTTTAGAATATGCCCCACAGATAAGACAGCGATGTGGCCCACTGTGCGGCGGAGACAGTGGGTCGGCATTTGGCGGCGGCATTTCTTTACCGCACTTGCAGTTCAGTTGGCTCCCGTACGCGGCCTTTGATGCAACGCTTTTTCGCCGATGCCGACGATTTGCAATTAATTGGGAATTAAATTGTAAGAACGTGACGTCAGACCGGGTTCGATGTTCTTGTGGGGCGATTCATAAATTAATTTACTAAGCGCACATTGTTTGTGTTAATACTCTGTGTGTGTGTGCGTGTTTGTGTGTGTTTTTGAGTGTGTTGTGTAAAAGGCAAACAAACAATAAGTAGGAAGAGAGAGGAAAACAGACATGTGCTCAACTCGTTTATGGGAGAACAAAATGCTCGGCGCAACGCTGGCCAAATAAATAAGCAAAGCGTAAACATGACAGCACCAAGACTCTCAAAAATCTATGCTAATTAGCACCAATAACAACAAAGACGAAGAGTGTATCTGTGTATCTGAGAGAATGTATCTCGAACATATAGCCACAGCAATATAAGTGCAAAGCCAACAAATCGGCAGGCAGCCAAACACTCGAAATACCCTGAAAAAACATCAGCGACAAATAGTGAATGCTGAGTGAATGGAGACTTTTTCTGTAATCATCCTGCATTGGGAAAATGACAGTGACCCCTGGGAATGCTAAGACTGTGAAAGGAAAAGTTAGAGAGGAAAACCAATCAATTCGCAATTAAACTGTTATTATTTTTTTTACCAGCAAAAATTAAATGGTTAGTCTCCACAACCCTCTTGATTTATTTAACACATTTTATAACTCACCAGATCTGTTTTTATGGAAAACCAAAGATATGTAAAGATTAAAACCATTTAAGTTTATGACCTAATCGTTTGTCATACTTGACATCTTGAAGTTTATTCTTACTTATAAAATACTTTAATTTCTGTTTATAAAAGAGACCAAGAAACCTCTAAAACAAATAAATATAAATATAAATATATATTTATTATCATATAAAAGGGAATCAGAACTCTTCATTCATGGCAAACAATTTCCCAAGAAAATAGCAATCTATATTGTATGAAATCTTTATGAAAGACTTCTTTTGATGACCTCCTAAGCTTGTTTAGATATAAAAATGCAATCTGCTTTGAATTTCCAAGAAGCCAATATTACCTCACTGCATTGACTTCTCCAACCTCGATTTCATTGAAAGTTAAAAATTCGCGCAAGCCACGCCATGTTCTTTATCAGAAATGCAAAATTTATCAGCGATAGCCCAGAAAAGATAACTAAAATGTGCGCTGTTCTACAGCAAATAAATCGAGGCGAAGAAATCAATTTCGAATTTGTTGTTATTACGGAGCAAGAAAAACAGAAAATAGGAGCCACTACAATGGTTCCATAGATAGCGGCTACTTGTTTGTACGTCAGTAACTTAAACGAGTAGGCCCAAACGAAATCCGAACGGAAACCGAAACCAATTGAGGAGCATACACATTAAGTGTGTGGGTTCTGTCCAAGGGGGAAGTGATCGTTTTTAAGTGGTTCCTAATTGGGATCCCGGTGCTAGACAGCCTGTGTCACACTGTGCAGAAACCGGGAATTGCATAATGCCCGGGCAAAAACCCACATCACGTGTCTGGGTCGTCTGGCACCTGACAGCCCCACTGAAATTACTTCAATTCGGATCGGTTCTGGCCGGAGGAAGTTGATGGAGAAATGATCATGATGATGATGTTGATGATGATGGGGCCGCAGGCCGCCAGACAAAACAAGAGAAATTGAAAGCCATTAAGTACCTTTAAAAATAAAATCGGAATACTACTAACCGCATGGCCCACTAGGATGATACATGCGAGTTCTATATATATATATATATATATATATATATATATATATGCATATACGCGTGGATATATGCTTCTTCAATTATTCAAGAGTACACCGAAAGCAGAGACTTGTGACCACAAAAATCAAAGAAATTACGCACGAAAAATATCTTGAAAATGCCATAAGTTGTATATAGATACACAGCCACCGTAGACTCATCAGATACACACACACATACACAAACACACACACACACCCGCGGGGAAGATATAGACAAACTCGAACTGTGGCAAACTATTTCCGTATTGAGTTCTCTTCTTCAATGCCCTGCATCAGATCTATTTGGGCATATTGCAAGGCAGCTTTTCGCTTTTTCATACATTCAAACAAACACTTGAACTATGAAATAACCAAATTGAAACCCTTTAAAATTCCCAGATAAACGTTTTTCTGACCTCTAAATAATTTATTTTTCCCTTAATGTCTTACATCCTTTATTCTTGAGCATTTATCAAATGAAATTCAAGACAAAAATGTGTGTTTTGTGACATTTTTAAAAATGTATTTTCAAAAGCATATATTCATTGGCTTAAATTCCACAAACAAATTATGAACGTGTTCCAAAAACATTTTCTAATATTTATGGATGCGCCAAATATATTTTCGAAACGTACGATTCGTTTCTCTTCACATGACTTTATGAGTTTGTTTGGCTTGTGGAAATTGCATTGACCTAGAAGCTATACCAACTGTATTGTTGTTTTTTCGGTCTCTTGGATATTTTGATGTCTTTGGAATACCCTGCATTTTGTTTTGGTTTTGCACAGTTCCCTCAATTACTCCCACTCTCTCTCTCTCTCTCTCCCACTATCTTTTTATGCCTATTTTTCTCTGTGTGTATTTTGAAAATGAGCATCATTATGAATTCCCCGATTTGTTTTACTGTGTGTATATTTTCAAATACTTGCATCCGATTTGGGCCGTGCTCGCCAGTGTGTGAGTGGGATGATGGGGAACTGGCTCCCGGCTGAGATCGTCGAAGGCCCACGGCCCATTCCTTGTCCGTCGGTCGCCAGCGCCACGAGGAGCGGGAAACGCGGTCTTCAAAAATATTTCAAAAATTGAAATCGCAGCTAAAATCGAACATACCCCTAAAAAAATAAAGAAAAAACGAGAGCGAAAGTTCAGCATTCAAAACGCAAACGCAATTTAATTTGGCCAAAACAATTCGAGACAATCAGGGACAAAGGCGCGATCTCGACGGCGAAAAAATAAACCTGAAAACATAACGATTTCGGACGCGTGCCAGTCGGCGGGCGGTGGGCAGTGGGCGGGGCGGCAGAGACGCCGGCAGCGACGTTGGCGCTGCGCTTTCATATGATTTTCCGCTCGTAGTGCTCTTTTTTGTTATTTTCTTTTCGTTTTTTTTTTTTTGCCGGCTGTCGGCTGTCGTGAGCAGAAATGCCGCCGGCTCTCGGTTCTCCGTTCAGTTCTGGTTGAGTTTCTGGCGACGAGTGTCACACACAGAGGGAACTAGAAATAAACGACATCGAAAGACGAAACAACATCCAAGTTGTACTGTAGATTCTGGCTGATTAAGAAACACGAAACACACACGCACACACACATATTTCTCACACTGCAAACTGCATTAGTTCTGATCGAGCGAAAGTGGACGTAGACGATGCCCAATAACCGCAATCGTAATCGCAATCGAAATCGCAACAAACGCAATCGAAACCAAAATCAAAATCAAAACCCTAATCAAAATCAAAACGATAACGAAAACGAAAACAGTCAGCAGCAGGCAGAGGGGGCGGAGGAGCGGGAGGAGCAGCAGGAACATCAGGATTCTCAGATCGCAGTAGCAACTTCTTCTTCCTCCATAGATGATAATGGAAATTCTGGCAGCGTTTCAAATGGGCCAGCGGAAAACAGCGAAGCTGTTGTTGTTTGCGACGACCAGTGTGTGACGAGCACTCTTGAGAAAACCGAAGAAATAGATAAAATATCCGAGAAACCAGCAACAGTCATCCAACAAGAAGAATATTTAGACGCTGAAATGGGTGCCAAAAACTCAAAACATCGCAAGGAAAAGTCCGATAAGCAGGCCACCAATGGAAGAGCCGAAGAGCAGGTGCGTCCACCACCCACAATTATAAGAAGGCCACCAGGCAGTCCGCGCCAAGCCAAGGTCATAGTTCATCGCATTGTGAGGGAGGGGGAGGCCAAGGCAAATGGCCAAGTTGAAGCACAGCAGCAACACAAGATGGCGGAATCCAAGGAGCAGCACTTGGAGGTTGAGGCATCAAAGAAAGAAACACAGCAAAAGGAAGCAACTCAACAGCAACTTTCAGAAACTAGTCAGCTATTAGAAGACGCACAGCAGCAACATGTTGCAGTTGCACAAAGTCTACAGGTTCAGGAAGGCAAAGAAGACGATGAGCCATCACCAAAGCAAGATGAAGTGGATAATTCAGAGAAGCAACCACTTAAAGTGGAACCCCCAAAGCAGCAGACACTACAACAGCAGCATGAGACAAAAGAACCGGAGCAATATGTGTTGCAGCTTGAAAAAGCCATGGAATTTGTAGAGAATGCACACCAGCAACATATGGCTGTTGTACAAAATCACCAAAAACAAGAAGGTATAGCACAACAACAACAACATCAGCAACATGAAGCACAAGTGCAACAGGAGATGCAAGAGGCAGAGCAGCAACAGGAGTTGAATAATGCCCAGCAGCAACATGTTGCTGTTGCACAAAGCCCGAAGGATCAAGAAGGCTCTAATGCACAACAACAGCAACCGGTATCCTTAATGAATAATGTCCATCAGCAACATGTCTCCAAATCTTCAGAAAAAATCCTTCAACCCGAGCAGCACACCTCCAAGGTGATTATCCACCAAATCCGGTTGGAAACCAATGACGAAGAACGTGCGCGAAAGGGTAAGCCCACCTTCGAGGAAATCAGCAGTACTTCCGGCTCTCTGGCCGGAACTCTGTCCCCGCCGCCCCGCTATTTGGTGGAATCGCCCAAGAACGTGTCGAGCGGTGGCCAATTCTCGCGCTTCTCGCGCGACGTGCAAATCCAGGAGCTGGAACTGAACAGCGATTGCAGCTCCGGCGAATTCAACTCGCTGCAATCCCCGCTGGTCTGCGAAGCGGACTCCGAGTCGGAGGGATCGACGGCCTTGGGGCCAGAGCGATGCCCGTCGGATCAGCAGATGGTGCCGTCCGGCAGCGGACGAGTGGAGCAGCAGGAGCAGCTGCGTCAGAAGCGCGCCCAGAAACGGAACGCACTGGAGTCGCACTTCCTGCCGCAGCTGCTCAATCCCCGCTACCTGGACAGCATCCTGGAGGAGAATGGCGGCGAGGCGATGAGTTTCCGCAACTCCTCCAATCCATCCGATCAGGCGGGAATGCGCACGCCCAAGCTGAACGAAACCTTTCCCAAGAGCCAGCTGGACTTTAGCCGTCGGCACAAGCGACGCGAAGAGGCCCCCTCGCCGCTGAAGCTGGAGACCAAGCTGCTGGAGGAGTCCGCCGATCTGGAGAGCTGCACCCGTCTGCAGAGCGCCCTGTCGCCACAATCCGAGGACGCCGAACTGGTCTACCTGAGCTCCTCGGCCTCCAGCAGTGTGTCGGACCTCATGGAACTGGAATTGGAGCAGGCGGCCGCTCTGGCCGAGAGGGCTCTGGTCGATCTGGATACGGATGCCAGCCGTCTGATCCTGCGGCCGGATGATGAGATGAGTAGCACAAGCACTACTACGGCGGACAGGAGTGAGACCGAAGCGGAAACGGAAACGGAAATGGAAACGGAGACGGAAAGAGAGGGAGAGAGAGAGGGAGAAGGAGAGGCCGAGGAGAGTCGCGAGAGCACACCTGTTAATCCGACGCTCGCCAGTTCGCTGTCGTCGCTGCTGAGCGCCGCAACGCCCACGCCAACACCAATACCAATGCCTGCCGACCGAGAGCAATTAGCAAAAGATACAAATGTATCTGGCGGATCGGCGGTTAGTTTCGGGATAGCATCGCCGCTGGCGGCCACGCGCGAGGAGTTCGTTCGCAACATGGACAAAGTGCGCGAGTTGATCGAGATGACGCGGCGCGAAGAGGAAATGGAAGTCCCTTCGACCGGTACGACGCGTTCGCCGTCGCCGCCGCCCGTTCCCCCGCCCCCCGTAGAGTCGTCCACCCCTTCCACAGCCTCCGGTTCCAGTTCCCTGTTCCACCTCACTCCCTTGCATTTGAGGCGGCAGGAGTCGAACGACTCCCACTGCTCAGACAGCACCACCCACAGCCAATGCACGGCCATCAACGTGGCCAGTCCCCCTCCCCCCGCACAGCCACCCACACCGCCACTTAGACAAAAGCCTGCACCACCACCACCACAATCACCACTACCAGTACCACCACCACCCACAACCCAATCAGAGCCAGAGCTTTCAGTTGCAGATTCGGGAGATGCAGATGCAGATACGGATGCCATAAAGAAGCTGCGTCTGCTGTGCACCGAGCAATTGGCCTCCATGCCCTATGGCGAACAAGTGCTCGAGGAGTTAGCCATCGTGGCCCAGAATATAGCCGATCAGTCGCACAACAAGATGCCCTATCCACTGCCCCAGTTGCCGCACATCAAGGAGCTGCAGTTGAACGCCGGCGAGGGCAAGTCCTCCTCCTCCTCCGCCTGGCTGGGATTGCCCACTCAATCGGATCCGCAGTTGCTGGTATGCCTATCACCTGGCCAGAGGGAACTGCTGGATGCTCAAACACAACCGGATGATCTGCTAGATGCCCACCAGAAGTTCGTGGAGCGAAGGGGCTACCATGAGTTGACCAAGGCCCAAGTTCTCGAGCAGGATCAACAGCAGCAGCAGAGGCAGCAACAGCAGAGCGAGATGCTCAAGACCGCGGCCATGATGCGCGAGTTGCGCAAGAGCCTCTCGCCGCCGGCACCGCCCCTCCCACCGCCGCCCGTGCCGCTGAAGAGCGCCGAAACGGCGGCCAAGGCGACCGCTCGTGAAAACGCCAAGAGAGATGACGTAAGCGAGCAAAAGCAGATGAAATCGTCATCGCTTGAAAATAAACCAAGGCGAGCAGCTGATCTCGGTGAGCAACAGCAGCAGCCGCAGCAGCAGCAGCAGTCGGCAGAGCACCGCCAGAGCAGCAGCATCACCACCACCACCACATCGGAAGCCATGTCCAGTGCAGCCACAAGCAAGTTTCCCACGCTGGAAAGCATGGAGAGCGAGCTGGCCAGGATGTTCCCGCAGCACAAAGGCGACATTTTCGAGGAGCAGCGCAAGCGCTTCTCCAACATTGAGTTTCCCAGCAGTCACGGTCAACAGACCGGCAGCCAGAGTCAGACCAAGCGGTACTCCAACATTGAGACGAGCAGCTACGAGTCCAAGAAGCGTTTGGAGAACGGTCAGGTGGTCTACGATGTGAGCACCTCCAGTCGCGAGAAGAAGGAGCAGGGCGATCCGCCAAAAGAGCAGCCCGCACCACCGCCCATCCCGCCGCCGCCAATTATGTCAGCAACGAAATTAAACGGCGGCACTTTCATTGATGGAGACGTGGCGCCCAAAAATAGCCAGCCAACAAAAGAGAGCGGCAACGGTACGTATGAGGAATTTCGGCAGCGTGCCAAGGCCGCGGCGGATGCTTTTGGAGCAGGAGATCAGCAGCAACATAATGGCCTGGATCACGACCGCGTGTTCAAGGACTTCGACAGGCTATCGCAGCAGATGCACGCCGAGCTGCAAAGCAGCCGCGAAAGGCGGGAGAAGTCCGCCTCCATGTACGATCTCAGTGGCTTCACCCGACCGTCGGCGGCGGCGGCGGCGGCGGCGGCGGCGGCGGCGGGTCATCCGAAGCTGGAGGAACTGCAGCAGCGGCGACACGCCCACATGCAGGAGCTGGAGAAGGAAATCGAGCGGTCGGCCAAGTCGCGTCTGGAGCGCATGTCGTCGGTGCCGCGCCAAATGGAGGCCACACCGCCGCAAACCCATGAGATTCCCATAGAACTAGAGTCCCGATCCCGACGTGCCGAATCGCTGTGCAATCTGAATGAGCCACCGCCACGGCCGCACACCACAGTGGGTCACTACAGTCACCAGGCGGCCCAGGACGACTGGTCGCGCTATGCCAGCGATTTGGGCTACTCGGAGAACATAGCTCGACCTTTTGCCAGGGAGGTGGAGATCTGCTACCAGCGACAGAACCAGAGATGCCCACCACATGGCATCAGGGCCCCGCGACTCTCGGCCAGCACCAATGACCTGAGCAGCTCCAGCCAGTACAGCTTCGATAGCTTCAATGCCTACGGCGGCAGGCGGACCCATGCCCCCATGATGAACCAGGCGCAGCAGCAGCAGCGTCCGCACTACGGCAGCTGTTACTCCATGATCGAGAGGGATCCCAATCCCCGGTACATAAGCACCACCTCGCGAAGGGGCGTGAGTCCGGCACCGCCGGCAGTGGCACCACCACCATCACTATTAGCACCACCGCAACAACAGCAGCAACAGCAGCAACAGCAGCAGGTGCCGCCACCCGCCTACGATCGCCAGCAGAGGAGGTCATCGCTGCCCAGGGAGCTGCACGAGCAGCAGCTGAAGTACATACTCTCCAAGGAGGAGGAGCTCAAGTTCGAGGTGGAGCGACTGCAGCAGGAGCGGCGCCGTCTGATGGAGGAGATGCAGCGGGCGCCGGTACTGCCGGCCCCTCAGCGCCGGGAAAGCTACAGGCCCGCCGCCAAGCTCCCTACATTGAGCGAGGACGAGGTCTTCCGGCAGCAGATGGCCGAGGAGTGGATGAACAAGGTGGCCGAACGGGAGGAGCGGCGCCAGCACAAGATCATACGCATATCGAAGATCGAGGACGAGCAGGACCACTCCGCGGTGGACAGGGCCACCATAAGCGATGAGTTCCTGGACCGCGTGAAGGAGCGTCGCCACAAGCTGGCCATGCCAGCGGACAGCGACTGGGAGAGCGGGGCGGAGTCGCAGCCCCAGCCGCAGGCGCAGTCCCAGCCCGAGTCGGATGTGGAGGCGGCACCGGTGCGCATACTCGAGGGCCAGGCGGAGGCCAATCTGCGCCAGCTGCCCCGTCACTTGAGGGAGTTCGCCAAGTTCTCCACCAGCGAACAGCTGCCGGATGGCGGCCAAATGGAGCGGCACGAGGAGCAGGAGCGCCGCGAGGAGGCCACGGACCACACGCACAGCAGTGCCACCAAGAAGACGAGCATCGTGAAGACGTACAAGGTGTCGCGTCTGCCGCCTTCCGTCCAGGGTGAGTTTCCCGGCCCGGCGTTTTCGGGGGTGTCCAAGGGCGGCCGACCCTATCGCGAACGCTCGCTAACGGCGCGGCTCGTGCGCCATAACATCCCCCTGGAACTAACCAGTAACCACAGCTCATCGCCTGACTCCCCCTCCCCCCTCCCATCCCCCCGGTTGTGGTTCCTCCGCCCCCTCACCCCCGAACCCAAACTTGTACCCAGCACCACAATCCCCTGCACCGCCACCCATTGAGCCATTGAATCCTGCATCCAGCACCGCTGGCGGCATCTTGGGAACCGCTTTGTTGCTGGGCCTATCCCTGCTGACCGCCTGGAACAAGTTCAGTTAGTTCATCCAACCACTCACATTGATCACTTCGCAAACTTGATCTTAAGAGGTATCAATCAAGAGGGTTTTTCCACATTCGAATGTACCAAATTTCCATCTGTTAATATCAAGTTGAAAGTGATACTATCTCTGGTGTCTGGCCATCTCGCTCACACACTCAACTCATTTGCATACCATAGCCACTTGGTGTTGTCCTATCTCTCTCTCTCTCCCTCTTTTGTATATCTCTATCTCTCTCTATCTCTCTATCTCGCCCTATCTCGTTTTGATTGTTCATTGTGCGCGAATTGCTCCTACTTAATCCACACAGACGAGGCCACAGATGCGGGCTCCAGGAGCAGCACAATCCACCATCAGATAAATCGCTCCAGCGATCCGCAGGCGGGAAAATTCGGTGCTAATTTGAACGAGTTTTTCGCCGGATCACCCTTCCGATCGAAAATCTTCGAAGAGTTCGACAAATACTGGCGAAACTTCGAGCACTCCGCCTCGAACACTTTCTAGGGCCATCCAGAACCACAAGCCGAATGCTTTGACCCCTGACCCCCCGCCCACTTCCAAAAACGTGCCCCGCCCCTCGCCACCTGCAGCTGCATGCAGCATCCCCCCACTCATGTCAAAATAAATGAATAAATACAAGTTACAGATTTGTCCAAATTGCGTTTGTGAAACTTTGTTAAATGTTCGAAACATTAAAAATAATATTAATACCATAGCAATAAAGCGAAACCGAAAATTATATTTAGTGTTGTTTAATGTTTAATAAACGAAATTATTTGATTAACCAAAAATTGTTTACTTAATTTGAGTATTCTCGTTGCATTCATATCAATTGTATATATTCCGCATGCGATTCCTTCTTCTAGTTGTTTTGTATGTATTATATGATGTGTCCCAAAAGAGAGAGACGATGTGCTTGAAAAACAAAACTAATCCATATTTGTGTGTAGTGTACAGACATTTGTAGACGGTGCGGTTGGGAAATATCAGACTGGCGTAAACAAAATGTTTTGGGAAATATGTGCAAGATCTTTATGACTTTTGGAAATGCCTCGAGTTTGTATAACTCAATCAAGCTCTTAACAATAAATTAATGGTTGTATATTATTTCATATTTATCTAAAACCAATAAAAATTATTACAAATTTAACAAACTTAAATATAATACATACAATTATGAACATTATTATCACTCATTTCTAAGCGCATATCCTAGAAAAACAACCTTTCTGATATTATTCCAACTTACCGCACATAATTGTTAAATCTTAAGCTTAAGTTTAGACATTAATCATTTGGCTTTGTAATTCGCAAGCTTTCGCTTAAGGCTCTGTGCTCAAATGCCCGAGGGCTGAAATCGGCTTTACCCTTTACCCTCTACCCAATCCACCCATTCCATCCCCCTAAGTCGACTTTTTCGCCCCCCCAAGAATCGCAACAATGCTCAAGAAACGAGAACGAAGTAAGCAAAAGACAAGCGAAATTGCGATTAAGCGGAAATTTTAAATTAATTCCATTCAATTGCATGGACATAAAGTGCAGTCCGACAGACGATCCGTTTGTTTAAACGAGAATTACGGAATCGGGGGCAATTGAGCTAGAGCGTCTACACAAAGAAAAACTAGTACTAAATGGTTATCAAAGAGTATATGAGGCAAAATCAATCGTTAATGATAAATGTCTTAATATTTATAGAAAGTCTATTGAATGCCGATTCCCTTTGAAAAGGAATGGATATACTATGTTCGTTTTTTAATTTAGCAAATGTGGCTTTAAATGGCTTTAAATGTTTGATAAATTTTTTTAAAAATTTTATTGCTTAACATTTAAAAAAAAATATTATGTCGAGTTCTGTTGGCATGTTAGAAAGTTTTACTTAAAGAACATAAAAAATATATTTTAAAGCCTTTGCAGTAAAAAATGATATCTGTGATAAATACTTTTACTTTCACTGACCATAAGTAAATAACAGCAATGGCAGTTAAAAATTTAAAAAAATTGGCCCATATGGACTAAGTATTTTCCTCTGTGTACGAGCGAATATGCATGCTGAAATTGGAACTGGGATGGGGACGACGAACGGACTCCGCTAGAAGGCGAAGTTCTAACCGAATGCTATCGTTCAGACAGAGCCACCGCATCAGGGGCAGACGCAGGAGCGGCAATGGGTGTCCGGCTGCGACCACGCCCACCCAAGCAGACGCGCTTCCTCCTCAACGCCCAGCAGCTGCAGCAGCAGCGGCAGCGACGCAGCTGGTCGGAAAGCGATCTTCTGAGGGAGATCGACAGCGAACTGCAGCTGGCCAAGGGCTTCCTCTACGCCAATGGTGTGTCAGAAAAACCCCAGAACCCCAGCCTCCCCTCCATCGATCCCCGCCCATGTTCTCTAATTGTCTAACCCCTTCTCGGTATATGTTTCATTATGTTAAGTTTATTTTTAGCCAAATCCACCATTATACATGGCGAATTTCGCTTACCTGCCTAAAAGTAGGCAACATTTTTCGCTCGTTTTGTTTCAGCACATTGCGTATACGACACGGCGGCTCCTTCTTGGTCACTTGCCACACTCGGCCATATACACATATCTCTCTATATATTTATCTTTATCTGCACTCTGTCCATAATTTATGACCCACTTGAGTCGTTCTCACACCCCGAAGATCGCTCTTTTTTGGCTTCCTCTCCGCTGTCTCTGTTTATGAAAGCATAAAAAAAACTATTGTTTATACTGGGCGAAACGGAAAAAAATACGAATTTTTCATCTGAGAACGAGAACGAGAACGTGAACCGTTCAACAAATTTGTTGTCTTGCGCTCGAACACAAATTGAGATTTTTCGGCTGGGATTTTCGGTGGGCCTCTAGACTACGAAAGTCCAAGCAACCTGACCGAAAATTCAACCGTTTCGTAGTCGTAGTCGTCGTCGTGTTAAAGTCGTGTGAGCAACGCGAAGGCGCGTCAGAAAATAGAAATATAGAATAGTCCGAAGTCGGCAATTGGAAATTGGAAATCAAAAAAGAAGTCGCTTCTATATTTCCACAGCAGAAATGGGACAGGGTTAGTTGAGTGTTTTGTATTCGAATTTGTTTGTTTTATCCCCAAAGTTGTTGCCACTTCCTCGACGGCTGTCCAGTGAAAAGATCGAAAATATCGAAAAGATACAAAGATGCACGAAGTGCAACCGAAGTGAAGTGTATTTAGTGAATGGTATTCCCGACTAAAGCGCCGATTTGGCCATTTGCAATTTGATTTTTGCAGAGCATACACCACAAAGCACGGGCACGGCGATGATTGCACCCAAATTCAAGGCGCGCGCGCCACCAGGCTCAGGTAAATTGTATCTGGCGGATGCGTTTTGCATCCCGCGGATGCACCCACGTCAAGTGTGACAAATGGCCAACATGACGTTTTCAGTGGGCTGTCTTTGATGATTCGTTGGCAGACGAGTTGAGTGGATCTTTCGCCGCGATTTCCCCAGTCAACTTTCCACCTTTCGACTGGTTCATTTCCAAATTTATTGCTCATATTTATAGATAATTTTTTTCTTCTGTTTTTGTGTGTTAGCTCTTCCATTTTTTGTTTCCTTTGGAGATTTGGACTGAACTTGATTTCGCCTTTGGCAGTTGCGATTGTTTATTTTAAATATTTCACATTAGTTGATGTTAATTGTGCACAGACCAAAATTTCCACATGATTTAGGCAAGCGTTTTGGAAAATCCAAACTGGAAACGAGGTGCGCCATTGCTAAATATACGAAATGACGTAAAATCCGAGGGAGAAAATGCGGAATATTTATTACAATATTTGCAATGTTCTCAATTGTTGTTCGCTTTTCGTGTTAGACGCCCACGCGGATGCCGCCTTTTACAGTCTCCAATAAAAATGCCAGCTAAATAAGATCAACACGGAGAGGAGCGTACTCTGCCATGTCGCCATCACGACCCATTTGATGTTGTTTTAGGCCAGTCCGTTGGACTGATTTTCCATTCAGCAGAATCCGCCGGGGCCATAAAACCCCTTTTTGGATTTTCAGAATTACGGGGGCGTACCCAAATCCATCAAAACTTTCATTCCTTGATTCGCGTCATCTGATGGCATTATCTATGCTTTAGAATATTTCGATCTCCTACACATTTATTTAAAGCATTAATTTGTATGTTGTTATTTTTAACATTTTCCCCTTTCATTTTCTTTTTTTGTTGTTTTTGGCTCAGCCGTTTTTTGCCCATGCCAAAGAATGGAAAATATAAATTTGAAGACTTTTAGTGAGTGAAAATAATTTATAGTCCGGTATAAATTCAGTTGAACTTGAACGAAACGATTCCTTTGCTTAGCTGCTGGTCGGGAAATAGCGATTTAATTTTGTTTGATGACGTTGCCATCGGTGGGATTAACAATCTGTTTAGAAGAGCTCTTAATAGTATAAATTGGAAAAGAATTTGGAAATCATGATGAGTAAATAGGAAAATGGGTGGCTAGATGAAAACACAAATTAAACTGGCGTGAGATACATTTTTATTATCACCTCACGAATTGACTTAACCTGTGAATATTTTTATAATTTTCAATTAATAATGTACAATATCTAAAGAAAAGATTCTTATTGTGATGCAATAAATAGGTATCTAACCGATAAATACCAATGATTTCTGTGTCTAGAACATTTTATAATAATTTATTGGTATTTTGATAACCAAAGTTAAAGATACTTTTTGGAATTTATGCGATTCCTTTGATTCCATGCCTTTCTTATAAACACAATAACTTACCGTGAATTATGATCTCTGTTCTTTTCAATTATGTTTATCAAATGGCCCATTATGCGGCTTGCAACTACAGGTTTTCCAATTAGTTCCGACTGAACCGCAAATATGCACTCCATAAATAACAAACTAAGTTGAGGAGTTCCCGCCTTCTCCACAAGCAACACGCAGACGGACTCCCCCTAAATTCCACATAAATCAACTCAGGAAATGCTCTTAATTTGCCAGAGGCAGCCGCACCCATTTCGATTCTCATTCCCATTCCCATTTCCAATTGACAGGTCGCACTCTGACTCGGAACTCCCGATGCCAACTCCCGTTTTCCAATCTGTGACAGGTTGCATAGAGCACCCAGCACCACTCCTCCTCAAACTATTTTCCCCATCACCTTTTGTGTGAATTTTACAAGGCCGCAGCGAGCATATGGGTTCCGCTATTAGAAAAACATTTTACAAACTATCCAGAGTTAAAATTAAATGGTTCCCTCATGGCAGGTACACTGTGGAAAAAGTCTGTCGTTGAATTAGAGACTTGATAACTTACATTTCAGACTGTTAGAAAATCGAGTTTTTTTTTTATATAAATAAAAATTTGGATTTATAATCATGGCTAAAGGATAGACCTTATGATGTTCTCAGAAAAATATGTTTCAGTTTCTTGTAATTACAGAAGCCACATTGGATTTGGACTAAGAATTGTGATTAAGGATGATGTTAATGATTCTCTCTTACTATTTATATACATTATATACGTTTTTATCGACAAATTTCATATTTAAGTTAAGAAATCTGTCTTTCTGAAACCATATACTCTTGATTTCAAGGCAAAAATCCAAATTTCAGAGTGTTTTTTCTCTGTGGAGTCCCCTTTTCTGTTGTTTTTCGAATTTTTTCTTGTTCGCAAATCGATAAATTTGAAATGAATTGCTCCGAACAACGAAAGCCAGCGAAATGCGGCTTCTGCTCGACTGCGGGCGCTCCTTGCGGGTGTGTCGCGCCGCTCTCAAGTGCCACTATTAACATTTTTCCAAGCGAATTTTCGATTTTTCGAATTTTCCGTCTGATTTGTTCTAAAGTCAAAGTAGCAGCAGCAGTAGCGTCAGTGGCCACCGGAAGTGCCAAGCCAAGCCAAGTCAAGCCAAACCAATCGAGTTGGCTTTGTGTGTTTGGGTTTGCTTTGCTTTTTGTTTTGGGTTTGCTTTTTGTCTGGCTTTGCCGAAGAGTTGTTTTGATATTTTGATGTTTTGTTGTGACTTTTGTGACTTTTGTGAGCTGCTTCACTGTACTCCGGCGCACACACTTCCGTTCCATTTCGCATTGCACGCATAATTGGCGTTTGCCCCTCTCTCGAGGTTCCCCTGTCTCCGGTTGATCGAGCACGGAGCAGCGAGAATGGTAATTGATCTGCTATTTGGGGATTGTGCCGATGGGGCGGAGGAGCCGCCATCGGCAACTGGGTGTGTTTGCCTTTTGTTTTTCCCTGCCCATGGCCATTCCCATTCCCATTCCCAATCCGAATCTGAATCCGAATCCGAATCGGAATCCATCCCCATTCCCGGGCTACTATGGTAGCTCTGCTCGACGCTGGCGAGTCACGCAAAATTCAGTTCGCCTCGAGCCGTGCGCGGAGTCAGCAACTCAATCAGCAAATCGCTCTCGAAATCGGTGACCAGTGCCATCCGTATCCGCAAGCGGTGCAATCTGTGCAATCAATCTCCTTAGGTAAATCCCTCGGATAAGACCGACTAATACTAATTAACAATCTGAGTGACTCAGAGGATCTCGATCGCGGTGTGTGCGAGCGTTTGATTGACATTTGCAAGGAGAAATTTCCTTTTGATTCGATTGTATAATTCAATTAAGTGCTGATTGAATAAAGACGTCAGCGCGCCCACGTACGAAACACCAGCATCAGCACCACCTTCACCACCTCCCCCCTAACAGTTTCCCCCCACCGCCCCAGTGAAACCCAAGAAATCCGCTAACGAATTTCGAGGCAGCACTGAACAAACCGCTCCTCGGCCAAATACGTGTCAATGTCTCGAAGGCAATGCGCCAATGCGCCTAGGGCATCTCTATCTGTATCTGTATCTTTATCTGTATCTGTATCTGTTTCTGAATCGGTATATGTATCTGTGATCTCGGGGTGTTTGTTTGTGGTTTTTGTTTTTTTACAGGTGGCATATAAATCTGTAGAATGAAAGATTTTGGCTAGACCCAATGCAAAGCTGCACAGACATTACGGGGGTTAGTTGACAAGTCATAAGACTACGCTGCCAGAATAAATCCACAATTGGCGGCAATTTGTTCTCATTGCGGTAAAAATAAGCGAATGATTTGCACAGATTTAAAATGGTTAACCGGTGGTTAAAATGGATGATTAGTTTCAAATTTTAAAACCTACTTAAATATAAATTGAGTTGAAATTGCTCTCCTAAATTACAGATTAGATTCGGAGTTGTTAGCTGCACTGGATTTTTTAGGATTTCAATAGTTATAAAACTAAAATTCTACTTTGAATTTTGTTTTAAAGGACTTGAGGTTCTTAAACTCTTTCACAGTTTGCCATAAATATTTTATTAATTAATGTCTTAATTAAAGCAATCTTCATTGATAAATATATATTATTTTTCTTTTGGAAATATTTTCCCTTAAACAGGGTATAAGTACAAAAACATTTGATTTAAATACTCAATGGCACATTTTATTTATTTATTTTTATTTAAACCAAACTGATACTGAGTTGAAAAGATAAAAACTTTTTTTTTTTTAATATTTTTGCAGTTTGCGATAGCTTTGTATAAAACTTTACAGTTTACCAAATACTTCTTATAAAGCTTTTTAGTTATGTGGCTAACAAATTGCCAAATAAAAGTTATAAGAGAAACGTTTTAAAACTTGGGCACAAAATATAGAACTAACCTTGGTAGCACACCTCGCCCAGTTCTTTAACGGCACGGGAATATAAATGTATACTATTTATCTGCATGTGTGTGCTTTTTTGTGAATGCTAAACATGCGCCAAATGCGATGACTCATTCCATCCGTGTGAGAGGAGCGTCAGTGTGCGTCTCTGTCTAGGTGTGTGTGTGTGTGTGTATGTGAGTGTGTGTGTTGGCCAAATTTTGAATGGCTGCCAAATGGCGGCTTCCTCGGTCGCCGTCGTATTAATTATGGCTGTTCCACGTCGCTGTGTTTGTTTGTCAATTTGTCTTCGCTCGGTTTGTTGACTGCCCAAGAAGCTATTTTCGAGGAGATCTGCGGTTTAAGCACAGCCAGCGGGCATAAATTTGTTGACAAGTGTAAATGTCGGGGCGGGAAACTCAATCTCTGAACTGGCCGGCGCCCCTGAAAATGTCATCAGGCACATGAAAGACCCACCGCCCACAACTCTCGCTCACCCTCTGAACACTTTCGACAGGCGTGTGGACACCTTACGGTTCCACTGGCGAACTAAATCAATCGGGCCCCACCTCGGCCACGCCCCCGCCCCCCGCCGCCGCCCTCGCTGCCCGTTTGGACGCCCCAGCCGTCGCCGGTGCTGAGCGGACGCAAGGAGTTCCGTCCGGTCCGCTTCGAGTCGCCCACTCTGCCACGTCGATACACGGCTTTGCAGCAGCAAGATCAGCAGCAGCCACAGAGGACGACCACGACCACGATCCCGCCTTGGTCGTATACCAACGGAGAGGGTGCCCCCCAACTGCCCCCAGCACCGCCCTCCCTGAACTCCGTCAATTCCAACTCGGACTACGCCGAAACCGACTGCTCCGGACACTTTGCTCCCGTGGCGCCCAGTGCCAGTGTCTCCGACAAGATTAAAAGTACTACATAGCCTTCCCCCGTATTTTTTTTTTATTTCGCCGAGCTCCTCTATCTCAAATCCAATACTCAAAGTAATTAAATTTAAACCCGTTTTTAATATCTTAGACTCGGGGGAAACTGACATCTATACAATTAGTTTTGCTTTATTAATTTCTCTTAATTAAATTTAATTTATACACTTCTTCCGATGCCTTATACCAAGTCACTATATAGAACTATCTTCTTAATAGCTAAAGCTTTTATTATTGGTTAAATTTTTAACATGAAAGAATATTGGTAAAATTATTATTACCTCATAATGTACATATGAGTGTTCTATTTTGGTAAAAACAACCGAACATTATTATTATAACGGAAGTCATAGTCATACTAGACTTCATTGAGGCGATCTAAAAATGCGGAATATTTTGTTACATTGTAGTAGAAGACTAATTTCGACTATATGAATAATGTATTTTTTTTTCATTTCCATAAAATAGAAAATGTAGTATTTTATATTTTGGTTCATACCTAATATACATTAAAACTTGAGTATTGGTTATTTATGTGTCGGATTTTCCGACTATATCTTACTTGCTTACCTCTCCACTTGGAACCCATTTCGCTAACGATTAACTGTCGTTTATCGCCCCGAAAAGCATTCGAACGCTCTTCTTCCAACTCGGAGTTGCAGAGGCCGTTCGTGCGGCGCCAACTGTCCGACGCCAGTCGCCCAGTCTACAGGCCCAATGAAGTCAGTAAGTATAGCCGATGTGGGTAGATGTGGGTAGGGCAAGTGACCAGGTGAAGCGAGCTCATGTCGACGCACAACACTGAATGTGGCTGTGATGTTTGTGTCCTCTGTTTAACCGCAAATACCTAAACCAAATAAACCTAAAACCAAACCCTCCAGAGAACCCAATCAACAACTAACCAAACTCTAAACTCTGCGGTTTCCAGTCTACAAAGTCAAGCACGAGTATATGAGCGAACCGGAGACGGGCAGCGATCGTCCCCGGAAAATGGCACAGTTAGGGCGAAGGCAGTACGAAGGCATCGGTCCGGTGACCAACGATGGAATGCCCATCATCCTCAGATCGGTAAAGCAAGCATGTCGGGGGTCTTGAGCTCGAATTGAGACGATTTGATACGAGTATTGTTCCTTATCCCTATCCACATGCAGGAGGTCCAGGAGCCGCATCAGCATGAGTGGTACAAGCGTCTGTATCAGACGATTCACAAGCAGAAGAATGGCGGTAAATGTCCCCCACTTTCCCTTCGGTCTGAAGCATTACGAACTCCATTCCCATTCCCATTGCCATTCCCACTCCCATCCCAGATCATTCCTAGACCCCCAAAATCCCAATCCTTCTAATGCTTTAGTCTGATCTCCAACTTATCGTTTGGGTCTCTTAAAAAAAACTCTTGTTTCTCATTCTCCCATTCGCTTTCGCCTCAAGATGATTACGTGATTCGCTACAAGTGTCCCAGAGGTGATTTTTTGATCTATAAACTATGCTATCCCCTAGTAGCCCTTCCCCTTTAGTTACCCGCTTTTGCCTGTATATAGTGTATGGACAGGGTCCAGTGCCCTGTAACCTCTAGAAAATAGAGAGCCTCATTCTATTTTGGTTTTATCTTTTGTTTACATGCATGCTGTATTATTTGGTTTATCTACATATGATTTCTCCCATATTCCCGTGTCTAGCTCTCATTGACTATTTGGAAGCTTCTACTAAATTTCAAGACTAACCTAATTTAAGGCCTAACTCACCCAACGCAAAACCACAAAACAACGCTAACATCATGTCCGCCAGTACACCACCGAGACAAAGTAATGATTATGATTGGTAGAGCTTGAGAAACCGCTTTATGCTTCCCCAGACTGATGAATACATACCTCGACTAATGAGATTTTCCATATTCGATCAGCCCGTCCGTCGTACAAGAGCAACGGCTACGTGTCGGAGCCGGAACCCAACTACGATTCCGACTACTCTACGCTGAGGTACCGCACCCAGAATCCGCACCGCGTGCAGTCCGTATCGTCGGCTGTCAATGTGCGCAACCTCAACCAGGACGAGAAGTGAGTCCCTAGTTTTAAATTCAATAGGGATCTCTCTACCTAATAGATAACTCTTATCCACAGATTGTATGGTACTATGCCAAATCCCATAAAATCAGCGCAGAACTCGTATAAAAATCAGCCAGGTCGCATCGAGAACTACACGACAGGTCATTCGTCTGTTTCCGAAAAGGAAAAGAAGGAGGTAAGTACGGCCCCTACTCCTAACAGCCTCATATACCTTCATCAGAGTGACCGAAGTGATGAGATCATTTGGGCACAATCCCCTTCACCACCATCACTTTTCATTCATACGAAGCAATCACTTCACTAGCCTTATTCATAGCACCGTCCAGTACTAGCTTATTGCCCCTGATTCCCCACACCGCCATGATAATACCCATGGGGGCCCAATCGGGTCCACAATCATGCAGCATTCACATTCACATTCAACACCCATATTCAGTCATTCAGATCGCCTTCAATATTCTAACTCACAGCAATTATTCTATTCACAATTCTAGTGGTGGGACGAAGTGATGGACATCTTTAACGGGGTATGATCTCTACTATATAATTTAGATTTAGTTTTAGTTTATTGACCTTCCGATTGAGTTACTCGAGACCGTTTTCCGTTGTCTAACTAAACGGGAACTAAACTGTTCCCAACTGTTCTGTTCTGCTTATTGTTATATCTTTCCTTGCCTACCATTTACCGCCTGCCCAAATGCCTGATCCATATCGTTCGCAAAGTGGCTTAGGGAGCATACACGCATCCCGCGAATTATCATAGAGTTCGTCGATGATTTCGACGGCATTGGAGTAAGTTTTCCCTCAGTACAGAACAAACATCCAGAGATTATGAGGCAGGAATCATTGCAAAAGGCACCTGAACTACTAATAGAAGCCACACGATCAAATGCAGTTTGGTTTATAAATTGATGCTAACTTTTGTATTCTTTCTTTCTGTTTGATAGAATCTAGAACAATCGAAACTATCACCACTGTATACCGAAGGTAACTTGTCCAGGTAAGCAAAATAAAGTGAATCAAGTGGGATATAAGTATATAATAGTATCCTTTCCTGTCATCACAGAGCTCTGGCCAAGGAATCCGGCTACACCAGCGACTCGAACCTCGTCTTCCGCAAGAAGGAGCTGCCCGTGAGCAGTCCCCTGAGTCCTGTGGAGCAAAAGCAGGCCTACAAGAGTCTCCAGGCAGGCGGAGAACCCCCACTGCTCGGTTTCCGCAAACCAGCGCCCGAGAAACCCCGTGGTAAGTCACACTTGTTTTTATTATCGGGCTAGTTTTGTTCCACTCTAATCTAATAACTAACTTAGTTGTAAGTCGCTGGGCTATTCTACTCACTAATCCTGCAAACGGTGTTGGTTCCAAGGTCTATCTTTTGTTCACTCAAACTATGTAAGACTGTAAACTCTTGCCACGCGTTGCCCTGGTTTATCCATTTCACCCACTATCACTGCTATCACCTGAAGTTGTTTTTGCTCGCCCACAAGGAGGCGGGCACCACCGAAAAAAAAAACCCCAAACTAGCACCACCGTTTATGGCACTGTCACGAGGCACCACCAAAAAAAACCCAGCAGCTGCCTAATCTCAAAACCCGATTTATTGCCTTCCTCAAGAAATTGTGGAGGAGTTCGAATTCATACAGATCACTCCCACGCTCACCAAGATTCGTGTGAGCACCAAGGAGCTGGAAGAAGGGGAAGAACCCTTCAGAAAACCACCCACACCACCGCCTCCACCGCCACCACCGCCGCCACCACCACTACCACCACCGCCCCATCAAGATTTGATTAAGAGGAGGGAGAAGAAGCCGGCGAAGATGTTCTCGCAGCTGTCGAAGAATCTGCCCTCGTTCATTCCGCTGAGCAAGAAGCAGCAGGTGTCGCAACAGGACGACCCTCCTCCCAGGCCGCCCCACCGCAAGTCCAGCTGCACGAAGAGCACCGTTCGAGTGCTGAGCTCCGCCTCGAAGTCCAGGCATGAGCAATGCTTCCAGCCACCGAATGGAGCAAATGCCTCTGGGGTGTCCACCATCACCCTGCGCAAGGTGGCCACCTCGAGTTGTTCGCGTCGTGAGCCCATCTGTCGGTCGAAGTCGGCGGGAGCAGTGTCCACCCTGCTGCAAACCCTGACGGCCACCAAGGAGACTCGACTCACGCGTCGCGTCCAGCAGCAGCAGCAGCAACAGCAGCTTTCCCGTCTGAGGTCCTCCAGTCCCAGCAGACGTCCCGCTCGTCTTCTGGCACTGCGTCACTCCAGCCGGAGTCCGGTGGCCTTTGGACGTAGCATCTCCAAGGAGCGCAGCTTCGCCGAGGAGAAGAAGCGACTGGAGAACACCCTGCCAGCTAATCGCACCAACTTCGAGGCCAGTACTAACATCCTAAGGGATCCGTCTCTGAAATCCCCTCAAGAGGTGCGGGAGGCAGTGCGTTCGTATGCCACCTCGCGTAGCAAGTCCTTGCCAAGACTTCGTCACACCACAGTGAGCACTACCACCAGACAGACAATGTGCTTCCCTCAAGTGCGACCGCAGACACTATTGGACTGTGGCACTCGATCGCTGAGGAAGTGTTCCTCGAAGGCGGGAAAGGGTCAGGCTAAGAACGGATCCAATGACAGCCTGCCCCGGAGCAACTCCACCTTCTCCATTGACTCGCTGGTGCGTCAGGAGTTTGTGCCCATTGCCCCACCCAAGACGTATGTGAGCAAGTCCAGAGGCTCGTCCTCCAAGGCACTGGTTCCACTCCAGAGCAGCCGCAGCGAAGGTCACGTTCCCCGGAAGCGTCTGTCCGGGAAATCCACCAGTAAGGCACCACCACCACCACAGGTTACTGTGCACTCCTACAGCGAATCGGTGCGCGAGAAGACGAATTTCTGGAACGAGTACAATGCCAAGCAGGCCATGTCGTTGCCGCAGGAGTACAAGTTCGGTCCGGAGGATGTGTGCGACTACGCCAGTCAAACGATCCAGCAGCCGTGCATCGAGGATCTCGTGTGGAAGTACGAGGGTAAGGAGCAGCAGCGTCCGCCGAAACAGGTCTCCGTTACGGACATTGCCCGTCCGCAGTCGCCGCAATTGGGCGGCAGCCTGCAGGAGCGTCACTTTTCGCCCACGCGGGAGGTGCGGGTGCCCCAGATCAGCCGGGAGGTGCGCTCACCGTCGCGCCGTCGCATCGACAGCCTGCGCTCCAAGGACAAAGAGCAGTCGCAGTCGCTGTTGGCCAGGGCCAGCAGTCTCAGTAGTGCCGACGAGCGTCGCAGGGCCACGCCGGCGCCATCGAATGGACTCTACCAGTGCGGCGAACTGGCCCACAGCGCCACTTCGCTGACGCACCTGGAGCGGCACAGTCCCAGCTGTCGGTATCGCAACAACTGCGAGCGTTTCACCGAGCTGAATCGCTTCTACAGCACCTTGGAGCGAGTGGGTCAGCTGGAGAGGGCCACCTCGTCCAGTAGCTTTCATCCTTTGAGGAAGGATGCCGAGCTGCTGGACTTTGACGAATGGCGACGGGTGCGACTGCACGAGCGCGCCGAAAAGGAGCTGCACTATCTGGTGGGCAAGCTGCAGGATGACCAGAAGCAGCGGGATCTGCACTTCCGTTCCAAGGACGTGGGCTCCATCAAGTGGCGCCAGGAGGCGGACCAATCGTTGACGGCCAAGAAGAAGTCCGTGGAAGATCTGCGCGACAATTTCGAGCAGCTAAATCTACTGCGGCAGCAACAGCAACTGCAATCGGAGCCAGTTCATCGCCACTGGAGGCGCAACACAGTGGCCGATCTGGCCAGCAGTCTGGAGCATCGCGTGGAGGTGGAACCCGAGATGGAGCGCCATCTGGACAACGACCTGGTTAGCACCTTGTCCAAGGATCAGATCAAGAAAATCACCCAGCAGCTGAATGAGATTTACTCGGGAAATCGTCAGGTTCCCGGCTCCGTCGAAGAGCAGTATGTGGTCACCGTGGAGAAGGGCTCCCGACCGAATGGCCTGAAGGTGCGCTGCAACTCGACCATCTCCAAGGATCAGCTCCTGGGTCCCGTTCAGCGCAAGCGGGACGAACAGCAGTCCAACCAGACTCTTCCCCGTGCCACTCGCAGTCAGTCGCCGGTGGTGGTGGCCAGGGAAACCCGTGGCGCCATTGCGGCCAAGAACGCCGAGCTGACCCTATTAAAGCCGCCACCCGAGGTGCCACCCAGGCCCAAGCCGGCAGCAAGTCAGGAGGTCAAGGTTAAACCGCCGCCCAAGGCGGAAGCCAAGGTGGAAGCCAAGGTGGATGCCAAGGTGGATGCTCGCGAACCGGCCGAGGACATCAGCCAGAAGATACAGTACTTCGAGGATCGGCAATTCGATGAGCCACCCAAGACCATATACCACGCTCGCGAAGATTCCTCGCCGGACGAGGCCGAGGTCATGCGACTGATCAATCAGAATATGCAGGAACGGCAGCGAGCCAGGCAAGTGCACCATCAACATCATCACCACCAGGAGCTGAGCAACTCGCTGACCGATTTGAGCGGTGTGTTCGGCGAACGTCCGGCGGCCCGTGTAAATTTTCACTTGCACAGCCCGCCCGACCGTCCGCCCGACGACACCGAGCTCATCAGCTTTGGGAACGGATCACCGGAGCAGCAAGACGACGGCAGTCTTGAGCTCTACTCGGACTCCTACTACCGATCGCGCAGTCTGTCGCCCCAATCGCAGGCCTCGGCCTGTTCCAGCTCCTACCTGCAGCGGGTCTACACCGGCGAGGTGCGCAAGATGCGTCAGCACTTCGAGAGCATCCGCCAGTCCGGCGAACAGTCGCGGGAGCCATCCAACGAGCGGCGTGATTTTTTTGGGCTTAGCTCGCTGCGGAGGGCGCGCAGCGATCCCGAGATGAGTGCGGGATCCAAAGACGCCCCGGACGCCGCTACGGAGGCGGTGTCGAAGCAGAAGGACGATGTGCCACGCCTCACCCACAAGTTCGAGGTGCGGGCCGCAACGCCGTCGCCGGAGCGCGGTAGAAGGCGGATGCGAAGTGCCCAGGACAGGCTAATGCCGCACATCGATATCATCAGCAAGACGGCGTCGCTGAAGAGGGAACTGCCCATCCGGTCGAGTCCCACGAGGAGTGTGAGCAGCAACAGTCACTGCTTCGAACGGCTGAGGAAGCGCTACGAGTCGCCGGAGCCACAGACCCAAAGCTATCTGTCCACCTCGCATCCGGATATGCGGGATGTGCACGACATATCGCCGCACTTGAGTGCCGACTGGGTGGCCCACAGGCATCCGGAACCCTCGAAGCCCAAGGAGCTGCCCAAGAAGCCGCAGCGGGTGGTGCGGGCCAGCTCCACTTCGCCACTGCGTCCGGCTAAGTCGCAGAGCCATCAACTGAGCTCCCGGCTAACCAGCTGCATGAGGGACATATTCGCCAACCAGAAGTTCGATCCCGACAAGCATCGACCCAAGGCGCGATATGTGCCCGATGGGGCAGAGAATGGCAATAAGAAGCCCAAGGATGGTGGAACTCTGGAGCGCCTCAAGAAGACGGCCATGGTGACATTTAAAGGTGACTAAAAGTAACAACTTTCAGGGGAGCAGTGATTGGGGGTTTCTAGGGTGGATCAGGGCAACTCTAGTCTATGCTTCGTTGGTCGCCTGATATCGTAGAGCTAGCAGCTGCTTTCTGGGTACTTCCCCATTGGTCATAACTATTCGAAATTGTCCCTTTACCCGTCTCTTTGTCTGTAATCCCTGGCGCAGATCTCGACCCGAACGCGCCCCCAATTCCCCCCAGCCGCCGGTCAAGGGTCTCTCCGCCTACGATTTCCCGTACAACACCGACACCGTCGACGGATCAGGTGAGTGACGATCATGCAGGTGTCCTCCTGGCTAACTGCAAATTGGTGCAAGAATAACCGCCTACAAGAAGTTTTACATACATTTTAGTACGAGCGATTCACTTTTTTTTATAAATATTTCAAAATAGTACTTAAAAGTTAGATTAATTGATTTAGCTTATTTCTTTATAAAAGAACTCTTTGATCTGGAATTTATATCCAATAAATATTATAGAAAACCTCCACTTAAAAATCGTACTAAAAAGTTAGGAAGAGCGATTTAAATTATTTTTTTAAGAAAAGAAAAAAAACAAAAACGGAAACGGAAAACAAATATATTCAATACCTATTTTATTAAATAAAAAGTGGTACTTTAAAGTTAGTAGGAGCGATTAAGCTTTACAAGGGAATTGTATGATATTTTATCTTTCATCTAGATCTTCCAATTAAACATTTATATACAAAAGAATATGAATTTCAAAACGGAGTATCTAGTTACTTATTACTATACTATAAATTTAATTAAAAGAGCATAAACCCATATTAAATCCCATTAAAACTTCCTAATGAATTAATCTGAGTGAGCTGCTTAACTGAAACTACTGCCAGGACATTAAGTATCCATAGCAAGCCACTGTCATTCGTTGACCTTTGCTAAAAGCATTTTTACTACCGCAACGGCGGCAATTTCCGCAATTGGTGCAATTTCGCTTTGAAGGCGCGCCGTGTCTCAGTTGAGCAAATAAATCGATATCACCAATGAGAATGCCGGCCACGCGGACGTGCCTGACCTGCTTAGCTCACCCGGCCGAACCGCCGAACCGCCGAACCACCACCCACCTGACCACCTTTCTGGGCGGTGGTGGTGGCACGGCTGTGTTGTTGCCACTGCCACGTGGGGGTGGCTGGCTCACCTTGCCGGCCTGCAGTTTGTTCGCGTTGCCATGGCCAAGACGATGCCGTCAACAAAACAAACTCGGGAATGTACCTGTCGCGGCCGCCGCTAGTCAGTTTTCACTTTTCCGTGCCAAAAAAAAGGTGTCTTTCGGGTCGCGCTCGGAAATTAAATGACTTATGCAACGGCGGCAATATGATCCACCAAACGCTTGCGCCGCATCGCAGCCAATCCTCCAGTTACTCCAAGAGCAAGGCGGTTCACTGGCGGCACAAGTTGCACCGCAGCTGCGATGATGGCCTGGAGCTGGAGGACGAGCGATACCGCTTTCCGGAAGCAGAAAGCAGCCTGTGGCGCAGCCCGGAGATTAATGAAAATCCGTGGCAAAGACCACAGAGCAGTGGAGGCGATGTGAGCCACCTGCGTAACGCCTCTTACAGCAACAACAACAACAACAACGGCGTATTGCGTCAGGACAGCACTTGCGATATACCCAACTGTGGCAAAATCCTTTATATACATCGGCGGGGATACGATTACTCCAGCCACGCCCCCCTGAGACCTCCGTCCCCCTCAAACTATGAGGGTGTTGCAGGTGGCTACCACGTGGTGGGACTGCCCCACACACCGCAGCCCAACCAGAGGCAGGCCTACCTCGCCAATCAACGTGCCATTGGGGCTTCCATGCCACTGCTTCTCTGGCAGCAGCAACAGCAACAGCAATTGCAGCTGCAGCAGCAACAGCAGCACCATCAGCAGCAATTGCAACAGCAGCAACATCAAAGATACCAAAAGATGCAACATCAGTGGCCAGGCAGTTAGTATTTAAAACAAGTTCGTTGTCAAACAAGGGAATCAGGTTTATACATATATATTAGTTCCATAAATAATTTGATTCTGCATCTTGTTTTTAGTTAAAAAAAAACAAATAATTTGTAAACAATCTATAGATAAAAAGTGCGTATTTGGTTTTATTTATATTATTTTGATATTTCCATGTATTCTTGCTGCCGATTACTATATTTGATTTTGAAACCATCTCCTTGTCACCTTCAGGTAGTTTAAACATTTATAAAAATCGTTTATTCAATTTTTAATAGACAACTAATACCTTTCAAATTTATTATAAACTATTACCCAAGCCGCAGATGTTGGTGAGCGGTATGATAGAGTCCCAGCGAGATAAAAGAAAGCCAAGCGATCGATTGAACCCCCTTTTCAGCTCCCACCGTCCCACTCGCTTTGCACTTTCTCATTTGACTAAGCGACCTTCCTGTTTTGCACTTTCTCACGGTTTTTCTTTTGCAAAAAGGTAAAAACTCGTTATCACCTGGGCCACCTGAGTTTGCCGAAGAGAGGTGGCCCAAAGAGAGAGAGATAAAGCTGGGCCGCTCTTGGCCACGCTTCTTACGTTCCAAACCCAAAGATTTGATAAAAGTTAATGCGAGAAAAAGCTTTTATTTTACTATGATCAAGGTGAAGAAACAACAGTGGACTGTGTCGTGGGTTTTATCGGACTTAAGGCACTTAGAATATTTTATATGAAACGATATTATAATTGATTTTGCTTATTAGGAACTTTAAGCCACTTGTTGTACTTATACATAAATGCATTGCAGAACTTGTAGAAAAATAAACATGCGTAGTTTACGGATAGAAACTCTGCGTAAAATCAAAAAACAGCAGTCCCAAAAAAAATTGAATATGGATATTTGTGTCTTAAGTTTGTGATTAATTTAGCGAGCTTCGATCGATTCGGCCCACTGTGCCAGCAGCAAGCAATTCACACACCCCACAGCACCATCAACAGCAACAACAATTAAACGTGAGGCGGCGCCGCCAGAAAACGGAACTTGTAGTAATACGAAAGCCGCTATCTCTGGGAATTACTCACCCTGCAGAGAGTCTTTGACGTAGTCTTCTGGTCTTCTCTCTCTTGCTTCTCTTCTCTGACAGTCTCTGGCTCTCCTCCTCTCCCACCTTCGTTGTCTCTTTCACTATCTTTATATCGCTTAGCTGCCTTGGGGACCCCATTCAGATTCGATTTCGGTTTCAGTTGAGCGCTACGCGTGCTACGGTAAAGTCGTTTATTAAGTCCCTCTCTTTCTCCACCCCCCTCTACCCGTCTCTTTCTCCGGCTCAAGTGAAGCGCGAAGCTTGTTTGTTGTTGTGGTTCGTCGATTCTCCTCAGCTTTATCAGAAAATTGCCTCAGGCTTCGATTCCGATTCTGATTCTGATTGATTGTTGTGACTAATGAGCGCATTGCGAAGAAAACAGTAAAGAAAACCATTTAAAAATAGTTAATTGAGCGTGAAATGGAAGGAAAAGCCTTAAAAAGCCTTCGTGTATTTGTGTTTGTTGGTGGCTCAGAGAAAGATGAAAAGCAACGCTTTTCATAAAGCGGAAAATGTAAAGTGGTCTTAATTGGAAATTTTCCATTACCAGCTCATTATTCTATTAAATTAAGTTTTTTTTTTTACCAGTTACCCTCTTTAATTTCATTCTTATTGATTAACATTTAAAAAAAAAACAGCTTTTAGAATTTAAAAATATTACGTATACGTAATTTTATAAAACACAAAAATGGTTCACAAAAATGCGCCTCAAATAGAATTGTCTTGATAGTTAAAAATAATCCCAATTGTTTTTATAAAAACAAGATAACACTATCATATTGATACCAACTACGATTTTTCTCTGTGCAAGCACTTTCAAACGCTGGCAAAAATATGCCGCAGCGAATCAGTGAAAGTGAAAATCCCCCGAGTGTCAATTAAACCTCTCTTTTCATTTCTTCACTTGGCGTAAACAGCACGTACAAAGCTGTTGTTAATTGTTGCTGTTCGAAAACAAAGCTTTGCGGCTCATGGCTTATTTGCTTTAAAATATTTGTGCAGCTGACATACCACTACCCCTTCCATTTCCATTTCCATTTCCACCTACAACCAGTCCATCTCCCGAGATTTTCTCCTTGAAAATTTCCCGAATCGGGTCAATGGATGTTTAATTTCATCTTTATCAGTTGGCCGACTGCTGCGCAATTCCATTGTGGAATCAATTGAACGGAATCGGGGCACTTTAAAGCGAAGAGTTACTCGGAGAGATTCGCATGCAAATAGGCAACTTATCTTATCGCGAGGTCATCTGGCTACGTAAAGCTCTAAATCGCTGGGAGTTCAGTTGTTGTGCCTGCCTCCTTCAGATCCCCAATTACCAGATTGTTAGGCTAACGAGCATTAACTTCAATTGCAGTTAATTCTCGATTTGAGAGGGCTACCTAATTCAATTGGAGATTGTGGAATGCCACTCATTACTGGTCGGGTGGGGTGTCAGATGGGTGGGTGGGGGCCTGTTGGTGGTGGCTGTTTATTTGCCTACCAATTGGCAGACAGATATGTACGGCCGCACCCGACTCTCAGATAAGCCAGTGTTTCGTAACAGAAGCGCCAGCAGTGACGGCGATTTGCGGTTGGATCGTCTTACGACTCAGACAACTACGATGGCAACAACATCTAGCTATTTTGTAGGGTAAACATCAAGTACACTTGGGCAAAATAAGTTCTCAACTCAAATTAGTTTGTTCTCAAACAACTTCTATAAGATGGGTTGGTATTTATGCAGCTGAAGTTTTATAAGTCGAACAAGCATCTACCTGTTAACCAATATAAAAAACTTTGATTTAAATAAGTTAAATAAGTTATTAAGATCATCTTGAGTTATTAAATGCTAGTGGTTTACCATACATTAGAAGAGGAACCAACAACGCCCATTCCGCATCGCTTAAGCTTGAGCCTGAACCCCGTCTTGCCGCTTTTGTGCCTCTCATCTAAACAGAGTCTCCCAATCGTTACTATGCCACAGACGTGAATATCCACTTCAAGACCCCGATCAGGCATGAGCAGCGCCAGAACGTGCCGGAGGAGGAACTAGCCATTCGCCAAGCGGAGCACATGCAGAAGCTCTACCACGAGGAGCGCCGCCGCAAGTATCTACAGGAGCTGCAGGACATGAACTCGCGCCGCCACACGGACAACTTTACGCCGTCGCAGAAGTCGCCCATCGCCCTCAACCGCTACGATGACTTCCCCACGGACGTGACCCTCAAGTCGCTGGTGGGCCCCAAGACGGTGGCCCGGGCCCTCTTCAACTTCCAGGGCCAGAGCTCCAAGTATGTACTCCTTAAGGCATTTCCCCATTAACAAGATGAACTCTAGCCAAAATCTTTCCAGGGAGCTCTCTTTCCGCAAGGGCGACACCATCTACATCAGGCGACAGATCGATGCCAATTGGTACGAGGGCGAGCACAATGCCATGATTGGTCTGCTTCCGGCCAGTTATGTTGAGGTGAGTGGGTATCAAATACTAGGAATGGGTTTGTTAAAGATACTGTTTGGCAATTGGTTGAAATTTTACAATAAGCCTTCAAGGCTTAATCCTTTTATTCCCTATTACCTGTACCAAAACATATTTTTATTTATCCGTTTCTATTAATTTAAATTGGTTTTAGTGACCAATTAGTGTTATTAGTGGATCATAAATAAACCACGCTGCTGGGGTTTTCAAGTTAATGTACACACTGATTAAATAAACCGCAAAGGTCAGTCACAAAATATGAATCAACTATTAGTTGTTGAACTTTAGAAAAACAAGTTACGAAAGCAAAGTTTCAATGTGCATAGACAAGAATTAGCTACTATCTTGGAAACAAACATATCTATAAGTAGCAGAATTCCCCAACCAATTACTATCATCCGTTAAACAGCCATTAATAAATCGAACCAATGTCCCAATTCCAGATTGTCAGTCGAGATGGCGCCCGAACTCCATCAAAGCGGCCATCGGAAGGCCAGGCCCGTGCCAAATATAACTTCCAGGCGCAATCGGGCGTCGAGCTCTCCTTGAATAAGGGCGAACTGGTTACTTTGACTCGCCGAGTGGATGGAAACTGGTTCGAGGGCAAGATTGCCAACAGAAAGGGCATCTTCCCGTGCTCCTATGTGGAGGTGAGCCTTGGAATTCACAAACAAAGTTCCCCAGATAGCTTATCCCCGTTTCTTTTAAAAAAAGGTTCTTACGGACATTGGTGCTGAGGATATTGCGGCCAGGACAACGACCGTGATCACCAGCCAGAGCACCACGAATCTGCGTCCCAATCTCGATGTGCTACGCACAAACATCAACAATGAGTTCAACACCCTGACTCAAAACGGAGTCCAGCCACCGAATGGAATCCTCAAGGAAACACGGACGCTCCACAAGACGGACGCCCTGCATGTGGACACCAGTTCCGAGCCATTGGCGTGAGTTATCCCAGATATAGATCCGGCTTAACAGGAATATCTGATTTATGGGATATAACTTTCAGGTACCGCGCCCTCTACAAGTACCGGCCCCAGAACTCCGACGAACTGGAGCTCCTCGAGGGGGATGTGGTCCATGTGCTGGAGAAGTGCGACGACGGATGGTTCGTGGGCACCTCGCAGAGGACCGGCTGCTTCGGCACATTCCCCGGCAACTACGTGGAACGGGCCTAGAGGAGATCGACCGGATGCGGATGATCGCGGATAATCGCGGATGATCCTGCCGACCCCCGAGGCGGCGTTCGTCTCTAATCTTAATGAATTTGTAGTCTAATACGAGGAGGAATCAGCGTGGCCGGGGCGAAGGCAGTTCTATGATTAATTCTGACTTGGTTATACTGGATTATTTTATGTTGTTGTTGAATAATTCTTATCCCGCTAATTCTGCTGCTTTCGTTTTGCCGTATTTTAAAGCTATTTATTTATTTTTAAACAGAGCATTAATTATATCAATGTTGGAACTACGTTTATTTATGAGATGCAAATATTAACCAGAAGTTGTACCCTCCACCTCCCCCCAATCCGACACCCCCGCATTCACCCAAAACACAAACACACACACACACACCAAATATCGAAGGACCTAAAATAAGTTCATACATATATATACTTTGTCGTTTACCTACTAATTTTAACTAGTCACAGCTAATTTCCAAAAAACAAAAATCAATTACAAAAAAAAAAAAATGAAGAAGTGAAGACCGTTGAACTAAAGTGCCTTAAAGTTGAAATTTCAATAACTAAAAATAAAACATAAAACATAAAAAAAATGTGCTAGGATCCAAGGGCCCCTTGTTGAGTCGGAAGTGGATAATTATTATTGATAATTATTAATAATATTTATGATGATATTGTCAAGTCCGAACCAACATAAAACATTTTAAAATCATTACAAAAAGCGTTTATTACACAGACACTGTTGCAAGCGTATTAAGTAAATAAAGAAAAAACTAAAAAAACAATGAGGATTTTATATTTTTTTATTGAGTTTGAGGGGGAATTAAGTGCGGTTTGGAAAATAAGGTTTATAATAACAATATCGTGACACCTTGAAGGGTAACTTTTTCCTAGAACACTAACATTATACCAAATACGTATAAGTCGTAAATATAAAATAAAAATATTCCCGCCTTGCTTTTGAGTTCATTTCATGGGTCCAAAGCATTTGTTATAACCTAACTATTCCTTGCTAATATTAGTTTAACAGTAGCTGTTTGTATAAATAATCCTGCTCCTCCTGCGATCACGTTTGCACCAACTTGCGCTTTCGCTCCTGTTTCAGCTCTCGCTTAACAGCCCGCTGCTCCAGTTCCTCCGTATATTCCGCGTACATGGCCAGCAGGGCGGGATAGAGTTTGTGGTAATGCTGCAGATCATCCAGGGTCACTTCCATGTTGTCGAAGGCTATTGCCACTCGCTGCATATCCTCGTCACTGGGTAATCGCGGGCATTTCGCGTAGCGCTGCGAAAAGTGGGTGAGAATCGTGTGGCGAGCGTCCATGCTACGACCCTGCTGAATGGCCTGCGACACTGTGCTGTGCGTCTTTAAGCGTGCCTCCTCCTCCAGCTCGTCCTCCATGGTGGCCTCGTGGATGAGCACCGTGGAGTCACGCCCCAGATCGATCAGATCCTGGCACGGCATCGTGTCGCCGCTGTAGGTAATCTTCACGGGTTCATTTTTGTGCTTAGCTGCCAGAGTTAGGCTTATTCCGAAGGAGTTTGGGCAATGCCTTACCAGGCAGGTGGCTATCGAGGTGATGCCCAGCGGTTCAACTTTCTCGCCGGTAAGGGGACTGGCCAGGAGTTCGCCATTGGCCACCAGAGTGTAAGCATCTTCGATTGTCTCGATCTCACGATTGTAAAACTCCAGCCAAGGCTCAATTTGGCGGGGAGCCAGCAGAATCAGTGGCTCAGCCTTCGGTTCCAACTGCCTCCTCTCCCGGAGCAGACCAATCAGTCCGATGTGGTGATCAGCATGCAAATGAGACACATAAATTGCCTGCAGTTGGCGCAGAACCTGCTGCCCTTGATCGCTACCGTAGAGCCGCACAATCTGACCGTAGGTGCCTTCTCCACAATCCAACAATACGTAGGCATCAACGGCAGTCTTGATCAGAATGGAGCTAACATTGCGCGTCTTATTGGGAATGCAGGATCCCGTGCCCAGGAAAATAATCTTTGGGAAGCTGTCGGCTGAGTTATTGGGGAAACTATTGTCTTCTTTGAATTTGGCCAACAGTTCTGTAAAGCCAGGCACGGCATGGGTCTCCTTAACGTACTCCTCCGGCGTGAGTTTGGACTCCAGAGTGCGATCCAGACCTTCGGAAAATACATATATATACATAATCAATATAACTGTGGATTTGTTATAGCTATTAGTACTTACCCTTTCTTGGCCTCAGATGAAAGCTGGTCATGGCCACCACACCCTGTTCTCCTCCCTCGCTGGATTTCACCTCGTCACCATTGCTATCTTCCAGCTTGGTTTTCTTGAGGTTGAGGCTAAGGCTTTGACTCTGGCAGGGCATCTGTTCGCCCAGGATTGGGAAAACCTGAGGGGCCAGCTGGTGCAATTGGTGCTGGATGCGATGGGCAGCTGCATATCCAGAGAACTGGTTAAGGGGAGAGTTCAAATGGATGTGCTGAGTGCCCGGCGAGAAATTCTCGGCCAGGAAGTCCTTGTAGTCCTGCCGCGAGGCTATCAGATGAGGCGTGAAGTGCATCACCAGGGCCACTTCGGTTAGCTGCTCTTCGCCCAACTTCTGGAGCCGTTTGCCGTGCGCCAGGAGACTTGGCAGATAATCCACACTGGGCACGTCCAGGAAACCGAAGGAGAGGGCCGTCTCACTGGCCTCGGTGACATCGGCTGAACGCACCACTTTGCCACAGGGCAGCGTTATATCCTGGCCGTTCTTAAGCTGTCCCAGCAGAGGTCCTGGCGGCACACCCTGCTCCACGCACTTGACCAGGTTCAGAGCACCAGCTCGTGGTTTCAGCTGGCAGATGTAGTTGATCACACTTTTCTTTGGTTCCACCGAGCTAATCAGCGGCAGAGAGTCCACCTTGAGAATGGAATCCTCGAAGCAAGCTCCCTCGGAGCAATCGAACGTCTGCACCTGGAGGTTCTTAAGGATCACAAAGCGTCGCATGGACTGCAGCATGGCGCCCAGATGAGGTGGTCCATGCAGTCCCAGGTCGCGCACTCCGGCATCCTGGATGGTAAGGGTCAGACCGGGCAATCCTCCGCAGGATGCCCAAGTGTTTTGCGTAAGGAAGATCTGCTCCAGGCGCGACAGTCTGGTCTTGTGCTCGTGGGCCAATCTCTGGGTTCCCTCGCCGCAGTTGAACAGGTAACGCGCCTGATCGGTGAAAAGGTAAACAGCGGCCGGTGCTCCATTGGCGCCGGAGCCCAGGACTTGCAGATTCACGGTGCCCGGCACCACGGATGCCAGCTTTTTCCTCAGCACATTGGGTTCGCGCTCATAGCGAGGTCCTGTTAAGGGATCCTTCGCGGAGGCAATTGTGGCCGCCATCGAATTACTCGTCGTGAGTGTTCGCAGAGTTCTATAGAGTGGCGACCCTACGGATTTCACTATATACATTCGTATTTCGTCGGCGTCTGTAACCGCGGGGCGTTGAACTTCTAAGAAACCGAAAGTGCCGGGATTTCTCCAAACAATTTGTCTGAATTTCGTCAGCAACGGCAACGTGTTGCGAACAGCTGTTGCAATTAGTGATGACACCCGGCCTGCGATACTTTTAGCGATGGGTCGAAATTGTTATTTTTTATTATATATTACTAAACTATGCCTGTGTTAAAACATTTAATTAATATCAATCTATGATTTTTTGTAATTTCTTAAAATAATCTAAAAACTTATATATTTTATGTTTTATTAAAAAATGGTATTCTGTAAATTTAATAAATCGGAATCTTATATAAGCTATTTTGGTTCCCATGTTTTTCTTCTATAATTTTCTGGTGTTTAATTCGCTTATTGCTAAATTAAAAAATGGGGAATAGCACTAAAAAATAAATTACACCATAATATGTGTATATTGCATGAGATGCCAATTATTTTTTTTTTATATAAATAAATATATATGAACTTTTTTTATATTTGCATCCCTGGAATAAACTTAACCAACACTTAATTTGTGGTATTTTAGCCTTGCCCTTCTGCGGTCACACTAATACCCACGTGCGTTTTGTTTGGCCTCCGCCGGCACTGAATTCATTATAACTCTCCGGAAATTTTAAGGATTCCCCTTTGCCCAGGATATCGGCGACTATAGAAACATGGTCTTCTTTACGTGCAACATCTGTGGAGAGTCGGTGAAGAAGCCGGCGGTGGAGAAGCACTACCAGACACGCTGTCGCGGCAAGAACAAGAACGTGTCCTGCATGGACTGCCTGAAGGACTTCTACGGCGAGGATTACGTGGCGCACATCAAGTGCATCTCGGAGGCGCAAAAGTACTCCAGCCAGAGCCAGGAATTCACCCCCAAGGAGTCCCGCAACAAGAACGCCCAGAAGCAGGAGAACTGGATGGACATCATACGTGCGATCCTCGATAGTAGCGAATACAAAATGACGCCTGACTTGCGATCCGCCTTCCAGAAGCTCCAGAGCGTCGACAATGTGCCGCGCAAGAAGGCCAAGTTCGAGAACTTCGTGGGCAACTGCATGAGGATGTCCCGCCATCAGGCCAGCCAGGTGTGGGATATTCTCGAGAAGGAGATCAACAAGATGAAGGAGGCCAAGCAGGCGGAGCTGGCCAGGATCAAGGAGGAAAAGATAGCGGCACTGCAGCAGCAGCAGAAGGAGGAGGCCGAGTCCGAGGAGGCGCCGCCGAAAAAGAAGTCCAAGCAGGAGGCCGCTGAGGAAGCCGCACCCGAAGAGACCTCCAATGGCGTATCTGGCGACTTTGATTGGCCCGCCCAGCTAACCAAGATCGTTGGCAAGCAGGCTGATGGCATTTTCCTCGAAAAACTACGCAAGAAGCTGCTCAAGAAGTACGCCAAGCATCTGTCTGTCGAGGATTTGACCGAAAAGCAGGCCAAGAAGTTCCAGAAACGCTTCGACAAGCAACTCAAGCTAGCCGACTCACTGCAAGTAGAAGGCGATCTGGTCAAGATCGCTAGCTAGCTGACCGTCCCACCTTTAGTCATAGTTAAGTTATAGCACAGGACAATAAACGTGTAAGCTGCAAGCGCTGTGTGTTTAATGCAACTTTAGGACTTGTACTTCAGGTACTGCATGCATTGCTTCAAATGATTGCGAGTCTCTTCGCACTGGGCTGTCTGATGGAATCGCTTGGCGGGACAGTGGAGGATCATCTCGTTGGCCACGCACTCGAGCACCAAACCCGGGTACGGATGACAGCCGTGGTGAGAGAGGCGTCTGGCCAACTGCTTGACTCCCTTGTGCGGCATTAGCGAAAGCGCTGGAAAAGTTACTTGGTTTAAGGTTCGCTTTATAAGAATCTCTTGAAACTTGAACGCACCATGTTTGTCGCACTTGATGTAGGTGTCATAGAGGAGCGCCACATCCGCATCATTAACCAGATCGCTTTCCAAGTGCTCCTTTACCTGGATAAGATTCAGCGAACGGCGATCCTTGCCCACAAACTCTGTGTTGTTGAAACTGCACTCTGCGGTGCACTGATTATAGAGTTAGTAGAGTACTTTGTTTATCCTTCAGCACTGAACTCACAAACATGTAGATCTGCTCCTCTTCGTCCGTCTCGTAGGGGATCTTCTCGTGCCATTCCATCTGACAGTCGCTGAACTGCGGACTCTCGTCATGCAGGTCGCAGCAAAAATCATGCTGTAAATAAAAATTGTAAAGAAGCTGTAATTAAAAAGACGATCTTTCTGTCTAGCAATAGATTTCTAACTTGTATGATCCAGTTATAGGCCGTTTAAGTAATTTCAGGATGTTTTTCTAATAATAATCTTTTAAGAAAATATAAACCTTCATATATTTGCTTTAAAGCCTCCATAGCTTCATATCTCCATCTCTGGATTGCATCACAATCAGAATGGTTGGTGAACTCACCATTGTATCGACAGCATTAAGTTCGCAGTCCTCATCCAAATCGGGTGAAGTGGTTCTGCCCACAACCCAAGCGATCAGGAGGAGCAGAAAAAATACATTTAGTTGTTGGCTGAACATTATTCGCAATGCCAGAGGTAATCCAATCTGCAAGTCAGTGGCTTTTATAAATGAGTAATCGCTGTGAAAGTGTAATTTTGCGTAACATTTGATGGCTTTTAATTTGGGGCTTAATTTACTTTACTTAATTACTCCACCCGAAATTACCCAAACTGTCTGCCCGGGTGCAGCGTCATCATGACCATCGTCGTCCTCATCGTCATCGTTCCGCTCCAGTTCCTGGAACGCATTGCAGTTCCATTAGCCCGCTGCACTCGAAGATAAATGATGAAAAGGCGCAGGCATCCATCACCGATCAAGCGGCGCAATATCCAAATATAGCAAAAATACCCAGGGCTCTGAGCCCTCAGCCCTCCAGCCACGCACTTTCTTCTGGTCGGCTGAAGATGACTGGGTTGATGTATAGCAAATGCATGCGGAAACATTCCCGATCCCGATTCCATTCCAATTCCCATTCCCATTCCCACACCCATTCCGCTGCGTTCAGCTGCAACTAATTAACCGAGAAATACATCATAAATAGTCCAACTGCCGTGCCCGTACCCCATCCCACATCCCCCATCCACCGTCATCGGTTCCAGTTGCATCTTGGGATCCAGCTCATCCTCGCCACCACCCGATCGCCATCAGTCAGGGCGCAGACGTTGCGTCGCTGCCACAGAAGTTACCATTTGTTTATTTTTGACTCGCACACACGCACACACACCCCGCCGAAGAAAGGGTGTGGTGTGGTGTGAAGCAGAGATGCCAAAGAACTATAAAATATTCACTTTATATTTATAATTACATTTTTTTTAGCGTTCTTAGATACTAGATTTAAAAACAATATTTAATCTTTTCATCAAAAAAATAAATCTTTAATTAGTTATTCTTGAAACAAATCAGAAATGTCATTTTATATTTAAGCAAGCCATATTTATGTTTCACATACTGAGCTTTACAGTTGTTGTTATACAAATTAACTATTTGCAACCAAAAATCAATTTTATATACCTCAAAAATTATATAATTAAAATCAAAAAAAATTTTTGTCCAAAAATCGGGTTTTCTCCAGCAATAGTTAAACTCTAAAGATCATGTAATACCTATGGAGTTTTAAAAGAGAATATAAAATCAATTGAAAGCAAAGTATCTTTTTTGATCACCTGGAAAAGCATGATTTTCGAATTAATAAAATGGAAATATATTTTTTAATTCCTTAACAAATCTAGCAATAAATACAACTTGGCACCACTGCTGCGAAAATTGGAGTGGGCGGGGACCTGAGGAATGGGTGTGGATGTGCGTGTGGACTCGGATGTGCCTGTATAGAAGGTATCCGCTCCTCCCGTTCTTGGCGGCGCTTCACGGTGGCATGCGATGGGGAATTTTGGGGGGCAAGAGCAACGGAGCGGCACGTGCCCGCCTGAAGTTCGCTTCCCTGGAATCGAAACGCCCGCAACTAACTAGCCGCATCCGTGAGTTTCGGAAGCCGGGCCTTTGAGCCAAGGGTTGAGATACTTAAGGCCATATGTTCATAAAATTTTAATTTTTGATTTAAAATCAGTGAGTATCTGTCAGTTTTTATTCATCTTTTATTTTCAAATCAATCAGAAGACTTTGAAATTCGAAATGAAAATCTCTCGGTATATACACTTTAGTAAAGGGATTATTAAGTTGTCATTCATTTTAAATGTTAATAGAATAATAATTTTTGATCTAAAGTATTCCAGAAAATCAGTGAGTTTCTGTCAGTTTTTATCCAGCTTTTATTGTGAAATCAATCAGGAAATCTTGAAATTCGAAATGAAAATCTCTTGGAGTATACATTTTAGTTAAGATATTGTAAAGTTGAAGTGTTATTATTTTAACAACCAAGTGTGTTTAAGTTGAAGGTTGTATCTTATATAAAGTAAAATTAACGAAATTAAAAATTAATTTTCCATTATATATTGGGAAAATTATCTTGGACCAAGTCTGGATACCCAAAAGTTCAATCCCTATGAAATGGGTCTTTTGATCTCTTGGCTAACTGTTTACTTCACACACAAAAACCATATATATGCATATTAATTGTTCTTTGTCAAAAAATATTGGTCATTAACTATTTATTTGATATATTCTTAATATTCTTAATCTTATTCTTATAAAGTCATATGATTCCGAGTATTATAAGTTTATGTGATTTCGGGATTTATATGGAGGTTGTCTTTACATTTTTTAGTCGTAATTGCATTAATAACTGATTATTTTATTTGGATATAATTAGGTACTCCCTGCATGAGTTGAGTGCCCAAGCCACGAACGGTTGTTGATGGTAAACATCAACAAAGAATAGTCATAATTGAACGGCATCTGGCAGGGATTGCAGTTTGTGGATCCCATTTTGGGACACAAATGTATGGTATCTGCGGCGGCCTCCAGAGAAACTCTCGCTTTCCGGCACTCACCCATACACATACATACATACACTGGCCAGCAGCTCACACAGATACTCGAGTGTAACGGACGGATGAGCACCGAGTCGAGGAGAATCCACAGCGAAGACGACGTCCAATCAGTCGAGAATCTGTTGGCAAAGCGTGCGGTTCGTTCGGTTTTCCTTGCTCGCGTGCTCAGGAAGCAAACGAAAAGCAGAAAAGCAAAGGCAGAGCTCCTCCGCCACTTGGAGCGACAGTTCCAAAAATCTGTCAAACTATACACACGCCGTACACCTCTGCATATATATATATATATATTCGTATACCCATTTTATTTATAAATCGCCTATATTTTTGGATCAAACTTGAGGCGAAAGCAAAAGTGTTCTAGGAATTCGTTTCAGTGTCTAGTGTGAAAATGCCTTTGGCGACATTGTGAAATCCTCGCCGTGTCAAAGTCAACAAAAATCAGCAAAGCTATATATAAGGCAAAAGGAAGCCCCTATATTCCGCCATAATGCCGAGCTTCGGCAGTAAATTCCTTGCCTGCCTGCTGCTCGGTTCGGTGATCCTGGTCAGCGGTCAGTTCGAGCACTATCTGGACAGCTTGCGATCCTCGGAGTTCTACGAGTTCGTGGAAGGATCTTCGGGCAGCATCCAGTACCTGGCCAAGGGCGATAGCGAATTTGTCGCGTTGCAACTGGAACAGCCCATTCACTTCTACGGCGAGCAGTATGAGCAGCTATTTGTGAGTAGCATATTACTAATATATTACCCCCCTTTAATAAATCCAAGGTTCAGGTCGGCTACAAAGTATCTCGAAGATTGTTGTGTTGTGCACTGAATGAATTTTTGCAGCTAGCAGGGTGACGAGGTGATTAGCTCCGTGTCCGTGCTTCGCCGATAAGACTCAATCAATATGCAAATACACAACGCGCTTCAAAATAGTTTCGTTTCTTGACTACTAGTTTTCTATTTCTGGGCAAGCAGGCTGCTTTGTTGTGGCCCGCGTATTTATAGGCGGCATTCATTTTCGGCAAAACATGACAGGTCGTACATCGATTTCCACACACACACACCTCGCGCATGGGTGTCCCAATCCACATGCCATATATCCGCAGCTACAATCCGCAGCCACTTGAGGGTGGTCCAAGACCATACCATACCAAAACCATACCAAACCGAAGCGAACCCATTGATGTCACTTTTGCCGCCTTGGCCAAATGCCAGATGCCAGAGTTGTGAGCATCCGCATCCGAGTGTCTGAACAGCGAACAGTGTCTGAGTGGATTTGGCACTTGGCAGCCAAAGTTATGTTATGAGTTCTCCGAATTGAGAGTGTCGCCTATTTTTGAACGATTTTCTATTTCATTTTCATTTTCGTTTTCTTTATTTTGCTGCTCTGCATTTTGTTAGTTAATTAACTGAATTTATGTGTCTGACGTAGAGAAACAGCACGCGGCACAGAATCGAAACGAGCACTTTGGCCATAGAAATCCATAAATTTCATTCAAATTCCTTGACAAAATGGTCGCTAAGATCAGAGAGGAGCCTGTCGCCTGTCGCCTGTCGCCCAGTTCCAAAGCTCTTGGGTCAAATTGGTGTCGAAACCATTTTGAAGGCATATAAATAGATTTGTCATATTGCAATCCACGAAAGCGTGTGAATAACCCCAGCCAAGATTTGTTAAAAAGTCTAGTCATACCTATATTTCTGATAAGCAAAACATGTTGTTATACACTTCTTGAAATTTATATTATTATATTTCATTAAATCAAAGATCTTACTTGCTTTCTGATTAATAATCTGCGATTAACAGACTTTTGTGTATATAATACAAAAAAATAAAGAAAGCCAAATTATTTGTGTACAATCAAATTACTTTGAAATCTCTTTTAGTATTTTTTTTAATACATAACGAAAACACTTTTTTTCGCACCATTAATAGCAAATACATTATTGTTTATTTTTTTTTAACGTAGACATAAAAAATTTAACTATAAATTTATGACTTGAATTTTCCCAAAATGGCAACATTTTGTACCAGAAAATTAAGTTCTATTCAAATCTGGAACATTTCAAGTGGTTTAAACAGGCCAAGAAGAATAAAGTATTTGATGTTTGCTTACCCAACCTCAATTTGGCATCTTTTGCGGCATGTGGATTTTCCATGTGGAGATAGGAATCCGTACAAATCACCTGCCAAGCTGCCGGAATTCCTAGACATGGCGCGTTCCCCTGCGGAGATGATTGGAGCCCGTGGTGCCAGAAGATAGACATGATTTATGCTGTTGGCTGTCGGCTGTCGGCAGCCACAAGAAAGGCATTTCCCAAACACCTGTGCTCCAATTGCCAGTTGTTTATTCAGATTGCCTGTTGCTTCGCTGGAGATGCCGCTAATTTTAGACGGATCGTTAGGCGGATGTCGGCCGAGGACTCAATTAGGAGATCCCTTCATGCCTATATTATGCATCTCGAGTGCACGTCCCTTCGTCAGATCATTTGCCGCCTTGTTAATGGTTTGTTGTTGTTTTGTTTCCGCCAGGAGAATGCCCATTAGAGTTAAGTGGCCCGTTAGCACTTCACGCCACGCCATATGGAGGCCAAGTATTTCCACTTCAAACGATCCCAAGTGTAACTTCCTTATTCCCATGCACAAATAAAAAAAAATTACCTTGGGAAAGTGCCCTTCGGTATTTGTTAGTTTTGAATCAAAATGATATAATAACAATAACATATGTTATTTTAGCTTTAAGCTTTAAAAGCATTAAACTCATATTGACTCTTATTTGTATGGTTTTCCTTTCAGATCAACACCAATGGCATTTTAACTTTCAACTTGGAGTTTCCAGAGTACGTGAACCAGGCCTTTCCGCTCGAGTATCCCTCGATAGCGGCCTTCTACTCGAATGTGGACACTTCGAGCAGTAATGATGACACCTCCATCTCTTTGTTCGAGACCAAGGAGCAGGAGATTCTCGAAAAAGCTTCCAGTCTTGTGCGTTACGCATTCAGCAGTCAACCCGACTTTAAGGCACACCAGGTGATCGTGGCCACGTGGACAAATGTGGGTTACTTCGATTCCAAGACGGATCGTGTGAACACCTTTCAGGTGGCCTTGATCGCCGGCGAACAGGAGACCTTTGTGCAGTTCATTTATCCAGATGGCGGTCTGAATTGGGTGCAGGGCGAGACCGCTGGATTGGGGCTGCCCGACATCCGTGCCCAGGCTGGATTCGTGGCTGAAGATGGGCGTTACTACAACTTGAATGGTTCCGGATCGGAGGATGTAAGTGCTAGGGACATACTATAACCTATTGGACTATTTTGTGCTACTGTTTTACTGAGAAGTGATAAACCTCTCTCTTTGTCAGCCATTTAAGTCAAATCTTAGACGAGACTTAATGCCATAGGCTAGCTTCTTATTTTAGCGCGCTATAATTCCCAACTGTTTCTAGCGGCATAATTTGAGAAACCGATTTAATAGGGCAAGTGAGTAAGTGATTTCCACGCTGATGATCCAGAACGGCTATTCTTGTATGTTTCATTCCTTGTTTAGTGTGTGCAGGCATAAAGTCTTGTCTTAGATTAACCTCTGAACCATTAGTTGACCTAGAGTTAGTAAATATGTAGTTTCCTACCAACTTACCATCATACTTAGTGGATGAGACTCTATTAATATACCCATTTTCAGGCCCGTTTCCTGAGTGAAAGCACCAACCTGGGCGTGCCCGGAGTCTGGCTGTTCGAGGTGGCTCCCATTGAGCCCGAGCTGAATGTGAGGACGCCCGACAATGCCGAGACCCGCACGGAGTCGCCCGCTCTGGCCCAGAGCTGCCAGGCCCATGCCCATCAGTGCCACAAGAGCGCCGAGTGTCACGACAAGGCCGAAGGATACTGCTGCGTCTGTGGGTCCGGATTCTATGGCAACGGGAAATCCTGTCTGGCCAACGACCAGCCCATCCGAGTGACGGGATCGCTGGCCGGTGAGCTCAACCACCAGCCCGTGGACGAGGAGGCCAAACTGCAGTCGTATGTGGTGACCAGCGAAGGTCGCACCTACACCACCATCCATCCACTGACCGCCGAGCAGGGCGCCCGGCTGCGACTGGCCCTGCCGCTGCTGACCACCGTGCCCTGGCTGTTCGCCAAGTCGGTGGGCGGCGTGGCCAATGGCTACCAGCTGACCGGCGGCGTCTACACCCACGTCTCCCGCCTGCAGTTCGGCTCCGGGGAGAGCCTCCATGTGAACCAGACCTTCGAGGGCCTCAACTACTGGGACCAGCTGTCCGTCAAGATCGAGCTGTACGGCGAGGTGCCGGCGGTGGCCGCCCAGGCGGTCCTCCATCTGCCCGAATACGTCGAGGAGTACACCTTCGAGCGGCCCGGAGAACTCAAGTCCGTGCAGGTGCACAAGCTGGAGATCACGGGAGAACAACGCGTCCTGGAATTGCAGGTGAGATCAAATCATCAGCGGGTGAATATAGGTAGTAACCCATGAATCGCATCTGCAGGTGGAGCAACGTATCTTGTACCGCAGCTGCTTGCGGGATGACGAGCCGGATCCCAGTGCCACCAAGGTGCTGCAGAAGACCTCCAAGGTGGCCCTGGACTATGTGGACAGTGACCACGCCCTGCGCATAAGCGCCATGAGCAAGGTGGGCGTGACCGCCGAGTCGAACGCCTGCAACGATGGCACCGCCGAATGCGTGGACAACTCCGTGTGCGTTCCGTACGAGGACACCTATCGGTGCGACTGCCATCATGGCTTTGCCGCCCAGGTGGACGAGCGGGGCGTGGAGGTCTGCGTGGACATCGACGAGTGCGCCTCGGGCCACCATGTCTGCGACGAGAACGCCATCTGCTCCAACACGGAGGGCGGTTTCAACTGCTACTGCGCCGAGGGCTTCCAGGGCAACGGCTACCGTTGTCTGTCCAACAGCACTGCCGACAATATTGCGTACACGCCAGCGAATCCGGGCCAAGAGGAGTCCAACGCCGATACCACTCCAAGCCCCAATCCAAATCAGGATCAGGATGAGGAGCAAGGCCAGGATACCCCAGTGGACCATCCATATCCCGACGACTGCTACGTAGGTTGATCAATTAAACCAAAATACTTGCGATAGCTAATAGTCACACTAATGAGAGTATAAATATACTGCAAAGGGAAATACCCAACTAAGTAGTGACAAAATTTAACTTCAAAAAATGAGAAGTGATACTCCTTACAGAAGTAGCACTAAGTACAGTTGTACTGATAATAGCTTCCTAAATACCTTAAGTTTCGGCAGATCCTAGCAATTTGAAGGCAGCATACGTATGTTAACTTAACGATTGTAGATAGACTAGATATAAGTTTATCAGCTTTGAGAGTAGCGAATATTTTACTTTGGAGTCTTGTCTATATCCTCTGTCTTATATTATGGTTTTATATAATTTTAAGGGTTGACAGTATCGTTTAACTGCCAAACTATATGTCTGTCATACTCACCAATCGGCTATACACAGTACATATTCATCAATTTTTGCTATACCTTCAAGGGTATTAAAGCTTCGGCTTGCGGAAGTTAGTTAACTTGTTTTTGCACTAACACACAACATCATCCGTTAAACAGCGCTGTTCAAAGGACGCCGACTGCTACAAAGGTCGCTGCACCTGCCACGAAGGTTTCGAGGGCGACGGCTTCACGTGCAACCGCCTGTGCGGAGCCAACGAGGTTTGGGAGAACGATCGCTGCGAGTCTCTGTTCGACCGGCACGATGTGGATCCGCTATGCGATTCTCTGGGCGAATGCCGATGCCCCTATGGATACGACCTGACCGAGGATGGCCAGCGGTGCTCCTTCGCCCAAGACTTTGATTTGAGTGAGATTTCGAAGACTAACAATAATGTAATGTGATCAGTGATCAAAGTTCGCTTGTCATACCCTTCAGTTCCGTGCGACGTGGATGAGAACTGCCACATCAATGCCACCTGCAATTGGAACAACCACGAGCTGCGCCACGGATGCACCTGCCTGCCGGGATTCCGAGGTGATGGCTACACCTGTGAACCGACCAGCGAGGACTCCTGTGATATTGTGAGTCCTATGGCTATTTCCTCTATGACCCCCATAAGAATCCGCCATGAAACCCCAACCACTTGACTTCCAGATACCCGACATGTGCGACGTCAATGCTGCCTGCGTCTACAACGACCAGATGGGCAAGTCGGAGTGCCAGTGCCAGGCGGGCTATGCCGGCGACGGCTTCCGCTGCCAACTGGCCGACGAGTGCCAGGCCGCCGAGCAGTGCGGCGAGAACGCCTTCTGCGACGACGGCGTCTGCCGCTGCCAAGCGGACTTCGAGCGGGACGTGAGCGACCACTGTGTACCGGTGGGACGGTGCGGCAGCGTCTTCTGCGGCTCCCATGCCATCTGCAAGTGGGACCCGGTGCAGAGCACCCAGTTCTGCGACTGCCTCGAGGGATACCAGGGCGATGCCCTCACGGGATGCACCAGCAAGCCCCTCTCCTGCCACGTGGTGAACAACTGCGGCATCCATGCCACCTGCGAACCCACCGAGTAAGTGCTCGAGTTTGATTTCCATGAGCAGTATTCTATATTTAAGCATATTAAAGCAGGATTAAAAGATAGATAGATAGTTAAATAAGGATTGACTTCTTTTTACAATGACTTATTTTTACATCTTTTTTAGATTGAAATGAAGACAATAAATTGTAGTCTGTCGAAAACAAATACAATAAAGTACTGCAATTAATTTAAATTTTGTATCTGAGACGATCATCGGGAAATCAATGAAAATAAAATCTAATTATTATTAAGATTAAAATCAATTTTAATTTTGCATCTAAAGCGATCATAGGGAAATTCAATGAAAAGAAAATCTAATTACTTTTGTGTTTCTCTATATATTTTTAGGGATCCCGCGAACTACGAGTGCCAGTGCAATGCTGGTTTCAACGGCGATGGTTACGTGTGCATCGAGGAGCAGAACTGCCTGAACAACCCGACGCTGTGCGACATGAATGCCCAGTGCCGATCGACCAACTCCGGTCTCGTCTGCGTCTGCAATCAGGGTGAGTTGGGTCCCAACCTGGATCTATCTGGATTCACTGAGCGCTCCTCAATTCCGCTCATCCGTTGTTCGCACGGAGCGCAAGAGTTAAAGAAGCAGAAACCGAAGATGCTTAGGGCCAGCACCACATTAAAGTAGCCGTTGTTGCGGTCCCAGGTCAGCGGATGCATAAAGAATTCGCGCATAGACTGGTAGTGCGTTGGTCGCTTAAGTGCCTCTTCGGGACTTTTGGGAGTAAAGTTTTGCTGGTTGAAAGAGCGGTATTTCAATTTAAGCCCACCGCTGGATGGCCGCCACATTTGGGTCAACAGATTCTGGGCACGACGCATTCCTTAATGGAATATAAATATTAATTATCAAGTATAAATAATCCAAAAATGGATACTTACCGAATGATTAAGCAAGAAACTGAAAATTTAAAAAGAGGAAAAAAAAAGATTTGGCAAAAAAGTAAAGGCCTAGAAAAGACTGATACCGAGATTGATACTATGATCCCTAAAACAACACCTACTTTATAATCATAATCATAATTTAATGATGAGGGGATCCAAAAAAAAATCATTAGAATTTTGAAATTACCGCCATTATTCGGAATAAATTCCTTGAGCTTGTAGATTTTAAAAACCCTAGGGATTTCTATGGCACCTACAATACTTATAAATGTGGTGACATCGTGGATTACTTTGTTTTTAAAACCTAAACATACAATGTTTCCTTTCGATTCCAGGTTTCTATGGCAATGGATCCTTGTGCCAGGAGCGTCAACAGCACGAATCGGACTTCCTGATCGTCAGCCAGGGCGTGATGATTGCTCGCGTTCCCCTGAACGGACGCAACGTACGGCCCATTTCGGTGGCCCAGATGGCCATTGGTCTGGACAAGGATTGTGTTGAGGGTCGTGTCTACTGGGGCGATATTTCGACCAAGAAAATCGTAAGCGCCAAGTACGACGGCTCCGATGCACGTCCCTTCATCACCACGGGTATGCCAATGACATCAGCTCAAAGAGTCCATTTCCTGACCATTTGTTTTACTCAGACATCGAATCTCCCGAGGGTATTGCCATCGATGTGATCTCGCGCCGCCTTTACTGGGCGGATTCGGCCAAGGACACCATTGAGGTGGCCAGTCTGGACGATCCTACGCTGCGGACGGTGCTCATCAATAAGCAGCTGGTGAACCCACGTGGCATTGCCGTGGATCCCTATAGGGAGTAAGTGCTTTTCCTGGGTTTTTTTTTTTAGTAATACTAATACCAAGTGGATTATCTATTCTAGAAAATTGTTCTGGTCGGATTGGGACCGTTACTCGCCCAAAATCGAAATGTCCAACCTGGATGGCACTGGTCGGGAACTTCTGCTGAGTCAGGAGGCGGTAACGCTGCCCAACTCCCTGGTGGTGCTCGAGAACTCTGGCGAGGTGTGCTTTGCAGATGCAGGTACCAAGAAGGTGGAGTGCATCGACCCTCAGAACCGCCAAGTACGCACCATCTCCAACGAGCTGTCCTATCCCTTCGGACTCACCTACACACACGATCAGTTCTACTGGACGGACTGGACCACGTGAGTTTCCAAGGACCAACCTCATCGACAGACTTTGCCTAAAGCCACATGTTGCTTTTACTTCTTTTAGCAAAAAAGTTGAGATCGTGGACAGCCTGGGCACACGGCAGAAGGCCATCCAGCCGCCCTTCTTTGGCAGCCACAAGATGTACGGCATGACGGTCGTGGAGCAGCACTGCCCGCAGTACCAAAGTGCCTGTCAAATCAACAACGGCGGATGCACGGACGCCCGGCTCTGTCTGGTGAACCGACAGGCTCCGTCCGGAAAGAGCTGCAAGTGCACCAGCGGCTCCACAGGATGCACTTTGCCCACGCCCTACCCCGGCTACTAAGTCTATGTTTGGTGGATGGTGAAATTATTTTTCGATACGTATACAATCACAAAGAAAGCAAGTTAACCAAAGCGCTGAAAAAGAAATGAAGTAAACTAAACTTAATTTAATTAACTAACTAGGAGTGCCTGTGTGCCATTTTATGTAAAGCTACTCAAAGAACAATAATTAATAAAGAGAAACCAGTCTTAAACAGGAGTTCATTTTAAATGATAAATCAATAGCCGAGGCATAAATTGGATAATGATTTTAATAATTCTTTACTACATTTTGTTAATGCCTGATTTTATTGGGAATTTTAAAACAATTGGAAAGTGTTAAACATCTTTGGCCTTCCCGGAAAGATTTGGTCCTTAAATGTTGGCATTCATTGTGAATAGCGATTAAGAAAATATAAATAATATTTATAAAACTTTTGTAGGAATTAATATTCTTACAATGTCTAAAGAGTGCTCTAAGAACTGAATTCCCTCCATGTGGTTCTAAAAATATTCATTTTGGGAAATCTTTTTCTGTATCTTTTTCTATCTTTTATATATCATGCTAATTTGATACAAGAAAACCAATCAAAACATATATGTAGTTATTGATAAGTACCATTTCTTACCTTTACAGAGTTCACGAAAGCTTTAAATAATAAGCCGATCATGTTATTTCCAACTATAGTTTGAGTTTATTGTGAGTTCTGTTCGACATGCTTTAAAGAGCATGGCGCCGATAAATATTACAGCAAGTTTATACCCTAGTTCACACTAAATGTATCTCTAATGCTGCAGCCAATGCCAGTTGCGGTTTAGTTACCTACTTTTGTACATTGAGACATCGATTTGATCTATGTGGTAGATGCAGATATACAGATACATAAGTATACAGATCTATATAAATAGGTTTCTGGGGGTGCTAGGCATAAGCTTAACTAGTTTCCTCTCGAGACACTGGAATGCATTTCATCGTCGTCGTTGACTAAAATTTCCTTATAAAACTGCTTTGGGTGCTTTAACTAACATTTTTAAGTGAGTGTATGGATGTTTGTGTGGTAAATGGTCGTGTAGGTACATTGTTTTAGCTACTTTATAGAGTCTATAGCTGGGATCGAATTAAGTTAAAGGGACGTGGGTTGCGTTGCTACAGGGTTGTGTTAGCTGCGAACGCTGGTTCTAATAGCTCATTGAATTTGGTTCAGTTGCCGGTACTCGATCCTCGGTCCAAACTAGTCTTAATTAGTTAACTCTAAACTACAACTTTATTTCTAGATTCTGTTGTTTTTCGATTTAAGTTGTTTCATTAGGTTCTAGTAGTTTGTTTTCGTTCTCGTTTTTTCTTGAATGCATTGGTTGGTTTTTCTTACCTATATAGTTTATATACAAATTCTTTGATTTATTCTTATATATGTATACATATTTTTGTTGTTGGTTTTGTAAAGCATTAGAGTATACCAAAGCCCGTTCCAATTTATGTTATGAAAACCTTTTCACTTTTCTTTTCTATAATTTTGTAGAACATTTCTAGAAGTTTCACAAAACATTTATCTGAGTGTGTGTGTGTGTATAGTACAAGACATTGATAGCACCTTCATATATGTATCTATATGGGGTTTAAGTGGGTCAGGGTCAGGGTCAGGGTCAGGGGAAGTTCCTTCCGAAGCGGAAGGGGAAGCTAAATCGAGCTGAAGCCCAATTAAGTGGTCATACCTAAGGTATATACATGGTTTTATGCTTTCTAGCCCGATCTATTTGATAGTTTGCTACTTCTGACTTCTCGGTTATGCTTACAACTAGGCATCAGATATATACAGTTATACAGTTTGCTAAATCTTTATAGTCCCACCTATCCAATAGTTTAACTACATTTGTTGTTCCCAAAACACAATTTGCCGCGGCTTTTTAGTGTGCAAAGCCATCATAATCATTAGCTTACAACTAATTGCAAAACTTGCAATATATTATTACAATATATATATCTATACATACTCCTAAGGGATTAACCGATAAGCACGCGCCTCTAGTGATATAGTGATCGTGATCTATTGAACATACGAGACTAACTTAAGGGAACTCGAAATGGATTTGCCGGGGGTTACACACACCACAGACAGCCTCTTGGGGTTGGTGGGTGGGTTTTAACTGGTTTGGTTTGGGTTGCTAATACTATCGCTCTGCCTAGAACTTATCTCTACGGGTGTGTCTGTGTGTGCCGGCCGTGTTCTATATCCACTTGTTTTTCGACATGGAGGAGCGGAGTCGGCGCCCCCACATCAGGTTGTATCATACGATCGTCCCCTGCAGGTGCTGTGGCGAGGACACTTGAGCCGACTGCTGCCCCAGCGAGTCCTGTGCCTGCAGCGAACCACTGGCCCCGGATGAGGTGCTCGGTCCAGGTCCCAGGTCCGCGGTATTGATGGCCAGCGAAGAGCCGGCGCCCAGCATGCCGCCGGTGGAGGAACCCGCTCCGGATGGGTTAATGCCACCGCCACCACCACCGCCCAATACACAGGGTACGCCCAACATGGGTGTTGGCTCCTCGGGCGGCGTCACCTGCAGCGAGATTTGATTCTGATCAAGGGGGGTTAGTCATCTGGTGAAGTGGCAGAGATCATCATTATATTGCACCCACCTCCATGCCGATACTGCCGTTCAGCGATATCTTGATGGGATTACTATGGTTCGTTGCCTGCATCAGTGTGGTGAAGTGACTGATGCCGATCTCCTCCAGCGACGACTTTCGCCGGCCGTGGCTGACGCCCACGCTGGGAAGGCCCTGTCGCAGGGACGAGGATCGACGGAGCAGGATGTCGTTGTCGATCTGCAAGTGGAGAAAGCACGAGGAAAAAATCCACCAGGAATGGCGGCCATTAGTGGGGTTAGTAAGCCCAAAACCGGATACATTATTATTATGCCAACAAAACTCAATTACGTTTACACATACAAATTGGCTATTGTTGCAGTAACTTAAACAAAGACACTAAGAAGAAACACATAAACTTCAACTCGAAATGCGGCTCGATGATTCGGACACTGGTATGAAAGGTGTCTGTTATTTCATGAGTTCCTTGCTTTTGTGATTTCCTCTGAGTGCGAACTATTACTATGAATTATTTGAGTTGATTGGAGTTGATTGGAGTTGATTGTTGCAGTTGTTCTAGCGGTTGCTGCTGTCGATTGTTGCAGTTGCAGTTGCAGTGGCTGCCGTGCTGTTTGGTGGAAGGGTGCTGCGGCTTCTTTTTGAAACGTGTACCCACAATTTTGTTGCTCAGTGTAAGAGTGCAAACGCTTGCCCCAGAACAAGGGTAAAGCAACGGGGTGAACGCATTCGTTTGTTTTAGCCAATTTGTTATGAAATTAACAATAAAACTAGGCTAAAGTGTGAAAGAAATAAGTCGTGTTTTTAGCTGGCTCTCAATGGAGCTTACTTTAGCAATTTTAAGTTAGAGTTAACATTGCGATCAGAAATTTAAGAAACTTTTAAAGACCTAATGTAATGTTTAGATAAGTGCAAAGAGGACATTTTCTATAAATGTATTTTAAAACTAGTGATCGCAACATAAAACTCCATCATTACGATTTCACTGTGTGTGTTCCAAACAAAAATCGAACAAACTATGCAGAAAACGTGAATCGAAACGAAACGAAACGAACATAGAGAAGGAAACAGGTGGTGTGTGTGTTTGGGGTGTGTGGGTGTTAAAGGAATAATAGCCAACCCGCAATGAGTTACTCCGTCCGCGCTGATTGCCAACCACCGTCGGACTGTCGGGTAGAGAAAGAGAATTCGATTTAATTTGCTGCATCGGGGGGCTACAGCGCTGCGAGGATGATCCATACCCGGCCAAGGTCTGGACACTCTGCATTTGCATGGGGTTCAAGCCGGCGATGCCGGATCCTCGACGCGATCCAGCCCCGACGGCGGTATTGGCCATGTTCATGTTCATGTTCATGTTCATGTTCATCTGCGGCATCTGGGTGGCGCCCAGGTTAATGTTCGAGCAGAACGAGATGTTTGACTTGCGGCGCGAGTTGTGTCGCTCGAAGGTCTTTTGGGCCGAGAACGGCGACGGTCTCACCAAGTATCTGAAAATAAATAAATTAAAAATACAAATTATAGTCAAACCTAATCTTTACTTATACGTATTTAATGAAATTAGTGGTTTTGAAAAGAAAACTCTGTTTTAAAGTGTAGAGTTCTAAACTAAACTAAATTTACTAAATAAATAATGTTTTTGGCACAACTTTTAATGGCTTGTCACTCACATGAGATCGCCCTCCTCCAGTTTGAGATCACAGCTCGGGTTGATTATCACATAGGACAGATGGTTGCGCTTCTCACTCACATCGTCATAGTCGATGGTGGGCAGATTCAGGGACTCCATCCGACTTCTCACCAGATTAGCGATCTCTGCCCGCTCAATCTGCTGGGCATGGTTGTCCCTCGCCTCATCGGCCAGATTGATGGAATACTAAAAGAGTTGAGCACTTTCATAAAACACAATGTCTTGGATATTAACGTACACATAAAGTTACAGGCCAGTTGGCGTTTTTACTTTCAGCAATTGAAATTTTAACAAAAGTGTGGATACACTTTGGATTGCAAACGCAATCAAGTCAAATGGGTGTGAAAGAAAAACCCCAATTAGGTCTGTTAGGTATATGCTAGCTGATCCTGAGTAAGTGTTAATTGTTGTACTGAAATGCAGACGGGTGGACAGTGAGAATTGGCCGAGCGATGTACTTCATCGTCGCCTGCCGGTTTAGTTGTTTTAGTTGCTGTGAGACATGCTACCATACAGTGAACATCATGCTGCAAAAGCCGGAATGTAGTCAAGACGGACCTACCTGAACCCGAATTTATCCCATAACCGTTAGCCCCACCTTTAAGCCACCGGGACAACAGAGTCGAGGTGTGGAGAATGGATGGGAGAATGCTAGAGAGTGGGTCGCGGCTACTTACGGATGATCCCTTGCGCTCCGAGCAACCGCCCAAACAGTTGACTGACCGCTGGCGCTGGGGCTGCGGCCGGAAACTGCTGGCGCCACCTGTTGCCGACCCCGGCGGACGGTAGGTGACCCCGCGCAGCATTTCCGTTGAGTCCTTCGTCGAGTCGGGCGTGCCGGTCTCCTCGTCGTACTGAGGCATGCCCATGATTTGTTTGGTGTATGCAAATTCGAGTTCGATGAGTTCGGTTAAACACAAAATGATTTACAAATTTAATTGGATTTTAATTGAAATGGCAAATCGCTTTCACTGCTCAAAGTGTTCGAGTATGCATGAGTGTGAGAGAGCGTTTGTGTTTAGAATGGTACGGTGGTGGTTGAGTTGTGGCCTTAGCAAAATTGTTAACATTTAGGTTGTTTAGGCATGCCGTTGACGGGAAACACGCAACATTTCGTTTCACCCTTCCGCTAACAGTTAAATTATAAAATGTAAAGGAAAATAAACACGCGATTTATTGATTTAAAAAGCCGTAAAGCAAAAAGTTACTTCAGAAAAAAAAAAAAACGATAAAAACTCTAGGAAAGAAGGTGCTGGGCAAGCGTTAGGCGGTTTGTTTTTCAACTGGGAATTGGGAAAAACAAAGTTTCAACTGCTGGGAATACTTTGCAACTGCTTTCTAAGTTTGTTTTACTCTAATTAAATAATTTGGTTTTCTTCTGTTTTGTTTACCAATTAACCCAAAATTGTCTTGCCTTCGTTCACGCCGCTGAGTCTTATTGATTTTTAAATCGAGCAAGCATTTTTAATGAGCAATCAGCGCGCGCGTCAATGCAAGAACGAAAACTTTCAGTAATTGGAAGAGTTTTTCAATGCCTGAGAAAGGGTTAGAGAAAGTGCCAACTGCAAGAAGGCCTGGCAGAACAAGCAGATGCAATCACCTAATTAAAAGCGACATGCAAACAGCTACAGAAACAAAACCAGAATCAGAATCAGAAACTGAAACAAAACAAAACCGAAACCGAAACAAAACGTAACGAAATTAAAGCCAGAAATGCCAAACATGCAGCAGCCAACAGGCCAAAAGAAATCGGGATGGAGCTACCACTACCCACTCCCAAGGACAACAACTACGACTAGACTACACACAGTTACACACAACGAATTGGAGGCCAGGCTAATGGGGCAGGCATATGAGATTGTATGAGGTGTGACTGATATTTTCATTGGGTATTTAATGGGTATTTTTGTATTCATTTTCATTTTCATTTTCGTTTTTTTTTTCGCTTCGGGAAACTCACTGCGTGCGTGTGCGTCAGGTCCAATACAAACGCAAATCAATTTGTCAATTGGTACAACGGGGCGTATGTGTAATTTGTATGAACAATTTCAATGACCTGATCTAATATATATGCTCACAGAACGCTGATAAATGGTTCGTCTGTCTGATCTGTTTACCTATCGGAGGATGAATGCTGTGACTGCAAAAATTAATCCAAAAAATAAACAGGCGATTGGGTTTTTTGGTGAGAGTCTTGCAGCAGAGCTACTGGAAAATGAAATAAAAATGGGATGGCAATCTGAACCGAAACTGCAATGGGAGTGGGAGTTGTAATCGGAATCAGAATCGGAATCAGCACGCTATGCTTTAAATAAGTGTGTATATATATTCTAATATCTAGGAGTTTACTTTAGAGGGAGAAAATCGTTGTATGTTTATTTATAAAATAAATCTATGTCTTTACCATTTCGGTCATTAACTGATACAAGTTGAGAAGGATTATATATACTTGGAGATATATATATGTATATATATATATATAAATATAGAGAGAGAGCGAGAGAGGGATTCAGGTATACGTATGCACTTAACGATATTGGAGATAAATATGCAAAACTTCGTATGACGACAGACTTCAGACTCAATGCAGTTAGTAGTAAAGCGTAAGCGTGTGATTGATATAAACAAAAGTCAAAATGATAACACCAACTAAAGTTTAGTTAAGCCAAGAAGAAAATGAAACCAAAACCTCGACTTTATCTGGGGTAACTCAATTAGATAACAGGCAACTGAAGATAAAAGATTATCGTTTTCTGGGCAATTTGCTTTTCGCTGTGTTTCGATGTGTGTACCTAATCGCAGCTCGAAATACGAATAGGTGAGCAAGAGACAAGTAAAAGGCTATAGTTAGAGTAGAGCTAGGAAGTTAGAGTTAGACATAGAGAAACAGAGATAGAGAGAGAGAGATATATAGTCAGGCTAAGTGTGGGCGAGTGGGCGAGTGGGTGAGTGAGCGTGTTAGTTGGGTTAGAAATTAATGTCTCTTGAGTGTCCTGCGAAGATCGGCTGCGCGATCTTGAAGCTTGTTCATGGGATCTTGAGATTTGCTGTTTTGCTGTTTTGCCTTGGACTCACCGATGGACGCAAGCGCACACAATGCCTGCTGAAGGCCGAGAAGGGTCCCCATCTCTCGACCGGCGAGTTACTCACATGAGACGTGTCCGCATTCGAGGTGTCCTGCGTGCGGTAAATGCCAATGGGTATTTCGCAGGTGGTGGAGCAGAGCTTCTGATACAGTCGCCCATATGTGCGTATCCACATGTCGTCCTTGGTGATGCGCATCTGCAAAAGGGTTGCAGATGAGATCAGTTCCACTCAACTAGAACTATATAAGCACTCACCGAGGTCAGAAACCCGCTACCCGGAGCCTGGTCAATGCCCAGCAGCAGTCGCACGAACGTAATCACATAGTCCTTCACGAAGGCCTGATACAACAGCGTGTCCAGCATGGAGGCACTGAAGACGGCTCCCGCGGCGAAGGGCAGCCGGAACATGTAGGATATGTGCGAGCCGCGCTCCTTCTCGCGCTGCAATTAAGTGAGCGGCAAATTAACCAAATGTCAGCTGAATGCACGGGCGTGGGGCCAACGCGCTACCGACCTTTTCCATTTTGCTGAGATGCAGGGCATACTTGTCGTGGGCCCGGAACTGCATGAACCTCATGTTGGAGCTCTGCGACAGCTCCGTGATGCTCTTGATGCTGGGAAAGAATCTGCAGGGGGGTTTGGCATCATGTAATGGCCTAAAAAGCTTTTCCGGTAATTACTACACTCACTTGAACATATTTTGCACGGCCACAATGGTGTTACAATCGGAGAGGGAGTCTTCTTCGGCTGAATTGGATAGCTCCTTGTTGACCACCACCACACTTTCGGCCAATGTGATGCCGGCTCGCAGCAGATCGTCCAGGCAATCGATCGAACCCAGCATCCAGTAGACCTAATCGACAGTGTAACCCTCAGTATTGCAGAAGAAATGTGTTTTGTGTTTTAGACCTACCAGTGGAAAGTAGGAGAGGGCATCTAAGAAGGCCACGTCTGGCCGTCTTTCCAACAGCAAGATAATGGGATTCAACGAGGTCTTCGATCGGAAGTGAGCTCTCAGCGGGATGATGAAGTTGTATATGCCATTGGAGGCATAGTCCGCTGCCAGGATGATGGTCTTGTTCTGCCACTGATACTCCTTGGCATTTCGATAGCTGCAGTGCTCGCAGACCTGTGGACGTGATTGTTTTCCCCCTAATTAAACGGCCTGGCCAAAATAGGATGTCAAAGTGTTTCACCTGAGCCAGCTGCAGACAGCAGAGAGGCTTCTTCTCTTTGAGCAGGTAACAGAGCGTCGGACTCACGCCAATGAAGGGTGACACGGGCGGAAAACCCTTGACGATGCTGGAATGGCAGACAACTCTGGGTTAAACGGGTGGATTCCGGTGGCACATGGACATGGACATGGCGATGGCGATGGACTGCAGGATATCGGGTGGGTATGTGATGTGTACGAGCGGGAAAGCAAGCAGAATGTGCTGGGATTCAAACGATTTATCTACGACATGGGAGGGGTTTTGGGGTTTTGGGATTGGGTAAATGCAAAACTACGAGCAAATCCAAAGCATTCACTACGAATTAACAAATGGTGAAAACTTAATGTGTGATTTCCCGAGACTCTGCCCAACCACTGCGGATGAGGGCAAACATTGCCGCTCCCAGCGAGTCCTTTACACAATGAACACACAATGGAAGCTTGACAAAAACAAAGCATAGCCAAGGAGCAAACAGAAGCAAATGCTGATGCAGATGCAGATGCAGATGCAGATGCACCAGCATCAAGAGCAATGACAAACAGCAACTAGGCAACGGCAACGGTAACGGTAACGGATCTCGAGTTGCTGCTCAGTTGGTCCAAGGTAAACGGTACGGCGTGCCGTCATTAAAAGATGTCCTGCGGCAGGCAAACCAAAAAGCAACAACAACGAACGTACGAACAGCAACAATGAGACAAGAACTCTTCAACAAATGGCGTATGTCCGCAGAATGTCCTTGCTCCCCAATCGTCAGACTTACCAGGAGTAGTCGTAGACCCAAACCGGACGCACCGGTCGACGTGTCTCTACGGAACTGCTCGACGTGAATGCAGTTGCCCCACTTCCTCCTGCTGCTGCTGCTGCAGCTGCTGTTGCTGCCACCGCCGGCGTGGTTGTTGTTGTTGTGGTGGTGGAGCAGCTGCAGGAGCAACATCGCTGCAACTGGCGCCTGCGAGCCGCCAATCTGGCCAAGGCTCCTCCTCCTCCTCCTCCTCCTCCTCCCCCCAGACCCAAACCCATTCCTGGTCCCATTGCGGGCACAGAGCGGCACTCACTATCGCAGCTAAAGCTCTTCTTCATGACCCGCCTGCGCAACTGCGGCAGGTACTCTTCGGATGGCACCGCAATGGCAAATTCAAGGGAATCACCATTGGTGGCGGACTCGCCTGGTGAGTCGCCAGCATAAGCGGGATTAGCAGGAGCAGCAGCATCAGCAGCAGCAGCAGCAGCAGCAGCAACAGCAGCAGCGGAAGCGGAAGCGGTGGCATTGCAGAAGCTGCAACCTCGCTGATAGGAATCCTCCGAGGAGCTCATGATGAGCGAATAGGTGCGCGATTGTGGAAAGTGCCCGCCCAAGCAGCTGAGGCGAAGTTTTCGATTTTCGTTTAGTTCGATGTGTGTACAAAAGGATAGTGTGGTGGTTACAAGTAGGGAAAGAGGACGTGTGTCTAGTGCTTAAATACAACATATACAATTTACATTCAGTTGGGTCTCTCAATCCTCAGCGACCGAGTTGGTACTTCGATCGTATCGGATTGCCGAGATCACACTAGCATGGTCTATGTACATAAAGTTCATGTTCGAGGTTAGTTTCGCATGGAATATAATTGGCTAAGAAGTATAGTTAGTGATACACACATACGTGGTACAATTGGATTGTGGGTTTAACTCTATGTATAGAGAGAGAGAGAGTCACTACACTGGGAAGGAGGGGTACGGTGCCTCGGAACAGTGACAAAAGGCAGGTCAGGCGATTAGAAGGGCGATACTTACGCAATCTTCTCGGATGGCGAACGCCAGGGCATCTCGTCGTCGATCTCATCATCACTCTCGTCCCCCTCCTCGCCATCGTCATTGCCAGCGATGCTGAACGAGGAGGAGGTGAACATATCGGGAACGGGCAGGATCGAGGGACGTCTACTGCCTAGACACAGAAATAATTTGAAAGTAATGAGTTTGGGATTTTGTTAATGATGGCATTGTTACACTTAAATGTAAGTGTAAAAGAAACAAGAAATTGGACAATCATCATTAGCGGTTGTTTGATATTCTAAGGCAATGTTCAGAGATATTTACAGTGGCAGTCCTTCTGTAACATTAAATATTGTGCTTTTAAATTCTTAGGCAATATTAATTGAGAAGTTTAAAGAGCAAGACAACCTCTTTTACCATCTATGCTTTATTTAACTAAGCATCAACACATCTAAAGATGATTGAGTTTAAAACTAGCTTATTACTAAAGATAATTTCAAACTTCGGTGAATCCAGAAAAATAATACCGCTCAGAATAGGACTCAAACTTACCCCTCCGCTGGTTGAGCACATCCGGACTGAGCAGGTTGGGATTGTTGGCGAAGGGCACATCGAGGTGATTGCCAGTGGTGGTCAGAGTGGCTGGAGTGATGCTCAGCGAGGTGCCCATGCTGTGGGCACTACCCAGTCCCAGTCCCAGGCCTCCTCCCCCTCCTCCTCCACCACCACCACCCGATCCGCCGGCCATGCTGGGGGATCCCATCGTCTGCGAAGGAGGAGGCAGGGTCGTCGTGGTTATCGTCGCCGCCGTCTGGGTCACCGTCGTGTCCTTGAGGTTCTGCCTGGAGTCCGAGATTATCACAGCCGTCGGATTATCGCTGGCTGGAGGGGCAGAGAGTAAAGTGCAATTAAGCCAGGCCAAATTGTCGATCAATATCCATTCTAATTACAGCTACTTTGGCGCTTGCTATACAGGGTAAAATGTCCACTAAGTTTCGCTGAGCGACAAAAATGTGACACAGCAAAAAAGGTAGGAAAAAGAAGCTAAGATGGAGAATCTACACGACAATCTTGGGAAAACAACTCGTTAAAAGTCCTCGACAAGCTTGCACTGGCCGGGAAACTTTCGGCAAAGTGATTAAGGTGCAACTTGGCCAAAATGTTGTCTTTCCCTTTCTGCCAATAGTTTTTGGTCACTTAATTACAGGGTCGAGGTTGAGGGAAAAGGGGTGAGCTACGATGAAGGGGCTTAAATTGAGCGCACAACAGGCTAAACTATTTATATGCAGCTAATTTACACAAATTGTTGCGTGAGGTTGATATATTATTTACAGCCATTTTTCTAGACATCCAAAACTCATGCTCACACACACTGAAACAAACACAAACACAAAGACAAACAGAACGAAATGCAAAGGCAAGCGGAAGTAGAAAAAGATGGGCGGAAGTTGAAAAAGTGATGTTTGAGCAAAGACAACTACGAAACGTGTAGAAAAAGCCATTTGAAAAATGAAGCAAACAACAAAAAAAATTTTGCATTGAAGGAAAAGAAGAAAATAGGAGAAAAGGCAAGGCCAGGCTAGGTGTGGTCATTAGGGTGGACCAATTTCGCATTAGAAATTCATTTCCAATATTTAATTTCATTATTACTTATTTTAAATTATTTTGGTTATTTACATATAGACTTTTAGAATGAAGTATACATTTTTGTATTTAATATTTATTATTTTTTATTTTTAACAATAAAAAAAAGAATTTAATTCAGTTGTAAGTTAGACTTTTAAGTCCGTTAGTTTACGTATGTATAAATGAAAGTGACTTCTAAGTTATAAATAAATCCTTTCATAAAAATAAAAATGTAGTTTTCAAACTTTTAATGTTATACAGTCCACCCTAGTGTTTATGTATGGGTTTATTTATTTGAATTGTGTATATGAGAAAAAGAGGAATGCAGAATCGTGTTGTGATGGCTGCGGAAATGTGTTTTGACATGGGTGTGCGGAGAATGTGAGTTATATGGGGAGATAATAAAGGCAGCTCAAGCTTCAAAAAAGTCGAGACGGCGAGAGGGAAAACTACGAAAGATATAGCTTGGATGGGGAGGTCGCTGAATCGGTTTTAAGGTGAGTGATAGAGTTAGGCAAAGAACGTGAACGAAATAATTGTGTTTTGCTTCATTTTTTTTTTTTTTGTCTTTGATTCCAATGATGCGGGTTTTCTTGACTTGCAGGTTTTTTTTTATATTCGTTGAAGGGGTTTTGGTAATTCTGGTGTCACACTCACGCACAAATAGTGATGCAAACTCGCCACTGTCTGGTGTTTGCATTGGCGGATGCGATTGCGGATACGATTGCGGATACGGATACGGTTGCAAGTGGGTGTTGCCGGTGGTGCCACCACCACTATCGTAACTGGGACTGTGGGGCACACGCACACAAACAGACGGCACTGGTGGTGGTGCGGCTGCGGCGGTTGAGGTTGCATTTATTGTTGCTGTTGTTGTTGATGCTGATAGTAATGTTGATGATGTGAAGGTTGTGCTAATTGTTGTTGTTGTTGTTGTTGCTTGTACTGTTGTTGTTGTTATTGTTGGATTTGCTGTTGTCATAGTTGATGATGTAGTTTTTTGTTTGTTATTCTTGTACTTAGGCGACATTCACACATTACATAAAACGATCAAACGAGTGTTTATGTGGGACTACACAATAGAAATCCTGCAGCGATTTCCCTTACACTCCTCTCTGTTTCCAAATCCGATCAAAGTTTTAGCTACAATATATGTTTTATATATATTCATTTTGGCTTAAAACAATTCTTATTAGCATTTTCGCTACATTTGATCGAAAGTGGAAATGGAAACTAGGTTTACTATGTTTTCTAAGTGTAAATTTAGTGTTGTGTGTGTTTGTGTGTGGACTAGCCTTAGATTATTCAATCCCAATCAAAATCTAAGTTTAGGGAAAACTCTTTATCCAACAATTTCTAATTGAAACTATGTTTCATCTAAAGGACCTTGCCTTCAAGAGCTATAAACGTGTTCTTCGAGTATTTTCAAATGTTGTATTAGTTTTCATATATATATATATAGTAAGTTTATAAAATATAATAAAGCGGTCAAGATACTCCCTCGAAGGAATATTATAATTAACACAGTGGAACCCATACAAAATGATTAAAGTGAAAAGTTTAACCAACAGAAAAAAAAATACAAATTCGGGCCAGGCGTAATAATGATTAACGTTAATGCGAGGCAGACTCGCTCACAAAACATACACTTAAAGCGTTTCGTTTCATTCAGACAAACCAAACGAACGGAATATTCGGGGAAAATGAGAAAAAGGAAAACTTTTAACTCAGCCTCAAAAATAAGGATTATCGGAAAAATGTAATAAGGAAGGATAAAGAGAGACAGAACATTTGGCTAAATAAGGAAAGCTTTTAATTCATATATCATATTTATGTTTGTATGTTAATGGATATATATATATATAGTAAGTAGTTGGTTCATTCGCTTGAATTTTAAATGGTTGAACCGAACACACACACACACACACATACGCTCACACACACACACACTCGTGGAGTTATAAAGAGGGTCTACCCACCAGTTGCAGTCGCAGGGTGGTGGGAGGTGGACGAGGAGGGTCCGCCACCGCCACCGCCACCGCCCCCGCCACCGACCCCGCCCCCTTCCTTGGCAGCTCCCGTGGCGTCCGATGTTTGATTTTGATTAACGACAAATGCGGAATTCTCCTCCTTGGTGATGCTCATGTAATAGCACGTGTCATCCTTTTTCATAATGTGCCTGGGTCCGGGGTTCAGCAGAATGGTTTCCTCGTAGAATTCTGGCAGCTCAGCCGGACGCACGCCCACCAAGGCCACTCCATATCTGAGGGGGAGGACAGGTGGGTGGGGATATAGTTATAGCTCTGAATGGGCATTCCTCTGGTGAGCCACACTTACTTGCGATGCGAATGAAAGCTGGCGTATGTGAAGCTCTTGCCTTCGTACTCGCCAAAGAATCGACTGTCGCCCAGCACAATGTGGTAGATCTCGTTTCCGGAGCACTTGCCGTACAGCCGGTGCCACTCCTCCGGACTCTGCTGGCCCTCCCTGCGGATGGTTCAAACATATATTTGTATGTACTCGTATACAGTAAATAGTCGTCAATTTCGCGACTTAGGCTCATGTGAAATGCATGAGTCACGGCCCAGTTGGTGGTTTAATTAGCATTCACTGGCATCTGATTAATCACGCTTTTCATGCCGCGCGACCACATCTCACGGAAACTTAAACTCAAAGACGCAAATAATTAAAGGTTTACATAAAACCACTACTACATAAGCTTGCTCAGCTAGTTTTCGCACTTTCCGAAAGGGAGTAAAGTATTACTTTTCCTCCGACGTGTCACCTTTTAATCCTATTAATTAAAACCGGAATTTTAAATTGAGTTTCCGTCATTTAAGTACAGGAGATAGCACGTTGAAAAAACTCATCTATTCCAGCAATTCTAAGTTTAACTGCTAAACGAAATTAAAAATGTTGGCTTTCTGGAACTCAATTTTACGTTCGCTTAGATGTTTTTGAGCCAAGACAGTTGTGCTTTATAAGGAAGCTAGTCATTCCCCAATAAGTATGCTATAATTTTCGTTGTCCGACAGAATTTCTTTTACTATGCATTTGTTTTTAGTAAAGTTAGGTTTTTTTTAAGTTGTAGTACTAATTTTACCTTGTATTTAAACAGTTTCCTAAATAGTTTCGTGGCTAACCTGATTTGCCTTCCTTTTGCACCCCTAAACTTCCGGGATTTCCCGCAAGGAAACTACTTTCAATAAGCAAGAAGTAAGCCAAGTAAGCTCTGAATCATGGCCTTCCTAACCAGCTTATGCATTTAGCGGCATACCCCGAGCTAAGCTAAATTAGCTGCCCCCGCAAAAAAAAAAATAAACATAAAAGGCCCGAGGAAAAACGTCTGAATGAGCAATCAAGCGGCTGTGACCTGACCACCGACTCCGCCGATGACGTGACGCATCCAAGCGAACCGATGACGCACACCGGATAGAGAACTTTTTGCATGTCCTGCCACGAGGACCACCATGCGTATACGTACTGTCCGCGGGATGTGTGGAGCAGCAGGGTGACCAGTGTGCTGGCGCCGGGACAGGTGCAGTTGTTGGCCAAAAGGGCGTACTTGAACTCGTCCTCGCAGACCACGTGCTCCGCGAACTTCACATGCAGCTTGTGCTCCGGTCTGCGGATGTGCGAAATGGAATTTCCGCAGGATGTGCGATTGGTTGAGTCGCCGCCCGTTTGATATTTGCAAATGGCAGAGAAAAAACAACATCGAACATCGAATTAATCGCCAAACGGAAGAGGAGATGTTTACCCACCTGAAAATCTGCACATACTGCGGCACATTTGGGGCAAAATCCTTGACGGCCCACGAGCGTAGAATGGTGTGCTCGTCGGCGGCCGTTTTGTCCGCATAGTTTCTGGCCGCCAGGATAAAGCACGCCTCCGCTTCGTTCATGCGGGCCCGGGCCAAGTCGCCATCCTTCAAGCACGAGCCCTGCAATTGAGTGGGTCATTTTTTTGCTCCCAACTAAGCCGGATTACTAAGCCGAGTCGCACCTGAATGTAGATGACGCGCTGCGCCCAAATGGGCACCTGCAGGATCATCCGCATCGTCGTGTCCAGCTCCATGGGACTTAGCAGCACCACATAGAAGTCCTGCAGCAGCGGATGGGCGTAGAACTCGTTGAGGAAGTCCATGATGGTGTCCGCATGCAGGGTGGTGGAGCACACCACCACGTGCTTTTCACTCTGCGCGCGGTGCGAACTGTAGCTGCCGCCCAGTTTTTGCCGCTCCATCCACGTGAAGGCCAGCTGTTCGAACTGTATGCCAAGGAGTAATTTGTTAACTAGTTCAATCATCAATCAGAAATTTTATAGATCGTAGTGGTCATCAAGATTAAACTTTCCTCAAGGCGCCTGGCACTTTTAAGTTAAGAATCATTATAATGTTTGGTTATTGTTTTCCCAGTTTTATTAACAAACTCCACTGGAACCTCTCTATCTATTCCATTAAATCCTATTAAAACTAAACTTTAGTTTGAGAACTTTGGTTAACGAAAAAAATTTAAGTGCATTTTTCTTTATGTTATTGCGACCTTGAGACTTTCCAGTTTTATGGTCTCATAAAACTAAAACGTAGAGTATAAAGTTGGCTTTTAGAAGATTGAAATAATAACGCAAGGCTTTTATATTTTTTCACGGTTAGGAACTACATTTTGTACTAAATCTTTTTTCTTAACTCTACGTTCAATTTTAATATCAAAAATATTATTTTTTTTTATAAAACCAAGTTTCTCCTTGTGCAGAGTTTATTGAAAGCGTCACTACAATATTTCAGTTCAATTAGATTTTAGTGCCAGCACCTTTCCTGGGTTTTTGCAACATTTTGGTCAAAAACGCACGCAACTTGTTGTTTTTATTGAGGAGCGGGGGCCCAGAAAGTCATAAATTCAGCATCATATTGACATGCACTTGGATCTTTTAGTGCTGGCAGAACAAAAACTCATTCCACCACCGAAACTACGCTGGAAAAAAATGTAGAAAAACTGTTTTGATGGATGCTCTTGTTGTTTGCCGTTTGGCCAAGTGAACAGTGGTCTGTCATATTTGTATGCTCTTTAACCGAGACGCCCTAATACTATGTATCAACTCTTTTAATACCTTAATGGTATTGCCAAATTAATAAAATTCATATATTTCAGTTATATTAGCTTGTTAATTTATGCATTAGTTATGTAATTTAATATAAAAGGGTGTGCTGTTCTCAATATTCCGATTTTGTGATTCCATCCTAGTTCGCATTTCTCCATCGAATCTCTTCTCCTGCTTCTGCTCTTTGTTCAGCGCTTGTTTTTGTTGATAAAACAATTGTTTGCAAATTGTTGAACATGGCAGTCAGTCAGTCAGTCAGTTAGTCAGTCAGTCGGTAAGTCGGTCGGTGGGGGAATGGCAGGGGTCACGGACAGACAGGCAGCCGGGCAAATGGTGAACAATTTCCATCGACAGCGTCCCATCTCGGGTTCCTCTATTTATTAATATCGATTGATGACCAAGGTCTCCCACCCTCAGCCAGATGCAGATGATGGATGTGGATAAGGTTCGCTCCGGCTTAGGAAGCATAAATATTTGATGTGGCTCTTTTGCCCGCCCATAAGATAGCTTCTTAACGGAACTATTTGGTTTTGGGTAATGTCCCATACCGAACCCAAATTGGATCCCTCATCTGACTCACCTGCGTGGGCAACACAATGAGGGCCACACAAATCATGATGACCATATAGAGCTGCGAGGGCCAAATGTCCGGCACAAAGTCACCATATCCCACCGTGGAAAAGGTCACAACCACATAGTAAGTGCTCTGAAAGAGATTTAGATGCCGATGACCGGCCCGCTGGAAGTGCTGGATGCCACAAACGCTGGGGACAAATAAAATTGGTATGGATTGTGGGAAAAGCTCGGAGTTAGGATTGTATTACCTCGTGAAGACTAGACACAGCAATGTGGCTGATAGAATGGTCAACTGCTGCGAGAGTGCTGACTGAGACTTTTGCATGGCACGATGGAGGTCATTCTATAGGTTTTTGGGATATAAGATTAACCTGAGATTAAATTGGAGATAACATCTCAACTCACAAACATATTCTCCAGCGATCGCTTGGCCAGCCAGCAGTTGAGGAAAATGGGAATAAAGAGATTCCGCAGCGGAGGATGAACAATCTGTGTAATAAAACACACCTGATTAGACTGCTTTAGGGAACGGACTAAAAAACCTACCGTAAGTGCAAAGGGTATTGTCGTTACTAATTCTAGTATAAAGTGAAATGAAAGTATCTGCTGCCAGATGTTGCCCTGAAAGTACAAAACCGAAATTGTAACAGAGGAGGGATAAAGTTTTAATGGTGGATTGTGGTATACCTTATAGCCTAGATATGTGAGGACCAAAGATTGCGTTAGCGACACCATGGCTAGAAGCAGCTGCAGGACCCAGAGCACTGTTGGCCGATTCACCCAGAGTATGGCGTCCCAGTTGATGATGGGCTGCTCCTGGAACTCCTCCTCCGTCAGTTTGGCCGAGATGATGAACTCCGTTTTATTGCCCACTTCGCAGCCATAGCTATCGGATGGTATTTTATGGTTTGGTATGATATGGAATGGGATATTTAATCAATCATCGAACTGTTGCTGCTCCATCTGCCGACGCCACCACTCACCATGTTATAAATGTTGGATTTTTATCCAATATCACACGTATTATGTAGAGAACACACGACAGTAACTTAAGGAATAAATCGGCGATTCGAATGCGCAGGCCTTTTTTTGATTGAAGATAAAGGTGAAGGGAATAGCAAATTCGTTAAAATTTGGGTCAGTTGAGTGAATAATATGAATGTCTACGAATGTTTGTCGAGTGGGTTTTCCCCAACGAGCCCCAAAAGCACTAACTCCCACTCAATCGAGACGACCTGTTTACCTGTTCAATTATTTCCTCTCCAAATCAATATTTACCCAAGATTATCGAATTCGGCTTTGTAATGTCATTCGGTGGTCCGTTTGTCTGTGTTTGTCTGTGTGTTTTTGTGTTTGTTTGTTTGTCCGTTTGTGCGTTTGTCTATCTGGCTGTGCGGCTGGCAAAATACTTATACATTCGTTTTCCGTCCATTCGGCCACTAATCAAATTCAATTACATACTATCTTGTTGATTCTTGTAATTACGTCGAATATTTTGGTTAATTCAAAGATAACACTTAACTAGTGGGTACTTACTTGAACGCTGATTCTTAATGAAATAGAGTTGCAGTCTTTCTTTAAATGTGTTTTCGTTCACATAGTACTCCACACGAACTCTGCAATAAAAATGAGAGAAGTGGGTTGCTGATGATTGAGCTTCTAAATTGAATTGTTAAACAAAGCCTTTGCAAGGACCCTATTTCTGCGTCCCTATCCCCGACAATGGAACTCCCCCGTTTCCGCGGCAACACTCGCTGCACTAGACAATTGATGCGCTTACTTATCACATCAGGCGACGCAGTTAGCTGCAGAATTCTCCATGCCCCATTACCTTACACTAAGAAAAATGGTTATATTTTCTAAAAGTCGAAATAAAATGATGTCGAAGTGCTTAGGCTAAAGTAACGAATAAACTATGAATATTTCAGTACTAAAGGTCTAATTCAAAACATTGTAATAAAATTAGTAATTCTGAAGAGGTAATAGCAGTTAGGCTTAGTTTTCTTAAAAAATAGAAATTCCGTTTAATTGTTCTGATGGCACTCAGCAACCATTTTCATAGTTTTACTAAACCAATAAGCTTTTAAGGATAAACAAAATGTCGAAGCCATAGTAAAAAATTAGAAGTTTACAAAACTGTTGTTCAAAGTTTATTATGATTTTTCTGTTCAGTGTATTTGTTCAACAAACTTAAATCAATCATTTAATTTTCCATTTTATGAAAAGGCACTGCTCCTTGTGTAAGTCCATACTTAGTGCGTGCAGTTAAGTATCTTTAGAAGTACTGAGGGGTGGAGAAAGGAAAAGGAAAGGAGAAAGGAGAAAGGCACCCCCACACACACATGACTATTCTGGCCGCCCTTTTCTCGGCACCGTTGCTCAAGGACGAATGGCGTCTGGAAATGGCTTTTGCCTGGGAAAATGTGCCGTGCATGGGTCTCCATCAATGAATATCTGTCTGAGCCCCAGGCTTACATATTTATGTACTATTGATGTGATCAAAGGAAAACTCAGTTTGAAAATTTGTTCATAAAAGGGTAACTTCTGTTAGCTAAAGGGTATACCTTTCTCGACTCTTTCTCGTTCGTTTTGAACGTCTTCATATTCTTCATATTTGATAACCCTTGACTGCAGCTGCAACACTGCTGCCTTAAGTGTGAAACGAGTTTAAACCACTCGAGCACACATGGCGTATGAGCAACAAAATGCGGGTCTTAAGCTCTTCCGACAATTGTGGGTGGCGCCATATATATACTTATATGTATATATAATTTTATGTGCTGCTCGAGTTTTGCATTTGGCGTCTCACAGTCTGAATATTCAACCCGTCACACCATAAGTGTTGAGCAAACATTTTTGCATGATCTTTGTGCACTTGACTGCACAAGACATTGGCCATACAGTTGAAAATCTTCTCAGGGTTCATGTAATTAAAAGAGTTGCTTAAACCCGGGCCCAAAGGAAACCCGGAGGAGATTCAATTAACTGTGTGCCACCTTCTTGGCCTTTGTTTTGGCAGCTTTCTGTCGCAGCTCATTTGGGAGCAGAAGCAAATTCGGTTGGAACATTCATGCCAAGGTTAATGCACTGGAGCAGGGGAAGGAACTGTAAGAATAGTTCAAGTGGCTCCCGGCAGCAGTGTTGACTCAGAAATGGCACCTTGGGGGCCATTCGAGGGCCAAGGACGATGACTGGGCGAGTGCGTGGCGAAATTAACGAGCACAGTCACCATCACCATCACCATCACCATCGCCATCACCGTCACACACACTGGCAAGTGACCAATCAGTTATGGCCGGGCCAGAAGCTCAGCAGAACGAGCCACTGCATACAATCAAGTCTGACCTGCCCCCAAAGGATTTTTCGCACTTCTCTGCGGTTTGTGGCGGCGGAGTTCATTCCTCTCGCCCTTTTTCCGGCCATTGAACGCGGCACAAGCGCTGGCCAGATGGCCATAAGTTCTGGCCAAGAAGGGGTCACCAATCACTAGTCACTTGTGGGCCATTTCCATGCGCTTTAAGTCTTTAGTGGCGCACACGCTGCTTTGCATATTTCCAATAAATCTCGCATTTGCGTTTATCCCTAGCTGAACTGTAATCAAAACTACAAAATATTTGCATTCACTTTGATTGCAAACATTTCCATTATGAAAAATAATAATTGTGAAAATTGTGCATTGCTGCAGGTGGCAAAAACTGTGGAAATTCCAGTTTGAAAGCGAAAGCTGCGGGTCAGCCACTGAATTGGAAATTGGCAAACTTTTTAGGTCGGAAAATTGCGGATTATTCAAATCGACGTCATTGTTAAGAGCTTAACCGAATTCATAGCTTATTTGTTTAAGATTTATATTTAATTAATGATGAAAAATTTATGAAGTCTTTTTGAAACGGTCCTTTAGCAATTTAATTTTATTCCTATTTATTAGCAAAATCGTTGTTTTTTGCAACTATATGTTCATTAAATTTATTCTTTTATTAAATATATCATTTAACTCAACATACTTTATACTACAAATTGTTTTTTAAATTCTTCTTTAAATCTGATATATATTTTAGAGTAATACTGTTTGACTAAAACTAAATAAATATTTGTTTGTTATCTTTGGTTTCACGAAATCAAGAGATATGCTCTTTCTCTAACTATCATTTGAAAAGTTTTAACAACACCATTTATATGTTTGCATATCTTATGCGTGAACTTTTTGGCCTCGAATAATTGGTTTCATACCCGCAGGACCCCGCATTTTTCCTATGTGAATTTTGTGGGTGTACCCGCAAAGTTATGAACTTTTAAAGTAAACCCCAACTTTGGCTTAAATTGATTCCTTTCTTCTGCTCATCCAGGAGTTCATGGTCCTGGCTGAGAGGACCTCCTAAGCTGGGGACAAATTGCACGTTAATGTGTTTTTGTTGTGCCATCATTTGATTATCCACAGATATTGAGTTTAAAGCTGGCTAAAATGGACAAATGGGCAAATGGGCAGCCCGCGGCGGGATGTGCTTAGATTGTTTTACCTTTATTGATTTTTGATTTCGAGCATTTTAAAGAAAATTTGATTTAATTTCGTGTGCGTGGTGGTCTCGGGTTTCTGTGTTCGTGTCGAGATTTGATTACAACTCCATGATGAAATTGTGCCAGGAAGAAAGGCGAAGGTGAAATGGCGAAACTGCGAAGCCAAGTAAATCAAAGGCCACAAAGGGGATCTAGGAGAATGCCTAACAAAACAGGGATTTCTTTTTTTTTGGGCTTGTGCAACACAAAGGATTGGAGGACAAAGGACACCATTCAAACCCATGCGTGGTTTCAGGTAGCTACAAATTGCATTCTTGGGCGGCAGAAACAAAAACAAAAATAGAATGTTCTCGGCTCCTGCATGTTTATTGCTCTCCTGATGAGGCATCTCTATATCATTGCTAAAGTGTCCATTAAGGAAACGCTGCATTGATTGCTTCTCGTAAAAAGCTAAGAGCTCTTAGCAGGGGATATATACACTTATTCATGGGCGTGCAGATGACAGCTTAAGGGGCGGAATTCATCAAATTATTTAGGATGAGAATGCATTTTGCTGACAAGCTTCCGGCACTTGTTGGGCATTTCCAATGCAAAGTTGTCTTTTGTTTGCTAAAATATTTATAAGAAAATACTTCTGTGAAAATGCTACTAAAATTCCACGAGGACTTATCCCAGCTTATGCGCATTTACAATAACAATTGTCAAAGTAAAACTTCAACTTGCAGCTATATTTAAATGTTCTTGACAGAAAAAAGGTTTAAGTTCATCTATAAAAGAAATACATTTTTTATGATATTCATTTTGAGAGTCTTATTTTCTAAGGACAAGAAATAATTAAACTAAAAATATATTTGTACTGAAGGCATTGTTTCAGAAATATCAGCCTTGTTGGTAAAAAAACACTTTAATATTTTTGTGAGTGTATGCTTTTAGTTGAGAGCAGATTCGATTAAGAATCGACGCCATTCCACTGCTTTGACCTGTTAATGGCCCAAATCGAATTTCGAATTGAGTTACGGAGGACGCGGCGTATACGCGATTTTTTAGTGCCCCAAGGGGCGTATACACAATGTCGACTTACCTTGGTATTCGATCATAGGAGTCCCACGAGGAGAGACAATTGTAGGACGAATTGCGACTGTTTCCCGCCATATTGCATAATAGATGATCCATTGGCTTAAATGACCGCAACACGAAGCACTTTATTTAATTTCACCTTTCGATCACTCTGTCGATTGCATTGCACTTTCGATTTTTGGATGGTTGTACTGATATGTATGGGTTGTTGATTGAGAGAGTGCACCTAGACCCTTTAGTTATATCACACTTTAATGCCAGCACTTGCAGAACTCCAACTTTAATCAAAATTGATTGCCCTGGCTTGGCAATTAATTTTGTTGTTTGAACACGCAATTGAGGACAGAACGCATGTACACACACATGCTGGCACACACTTATTTATAGCTTGTTTAACATGATTTTTTGTTGCTGCCCATGTGGGTGTTGTTGCGTCCTCCCATTGTGTGTTCTTTGGCCATTTAATAAATTTATTGCCCTAACGGCCATAGCCTTGAAAAGCAATGTCAGTGGAGGAAATGGATGTGGACGATAAACCGGCATTGTGCCCTCATTTTGTCATTAAGCCCTGTTTTTACACTTTTTATTGCTACTTTCGCATCGGGCAACCCCTTTCCAAAGTCTCGGCTTACATTATTTTCAGCTTCCATTTTACAGTTTACGCAATTAATTAAAATGCATGAATTGACTGGAATATTTCTCATCCCCATTATAATTTGTTAATCCGGAAATCAATTGTGAACCTCAGGCATTATTTACGGTGTTCGGTGGTATTCAGCTTGTATATTCATATTGATTGCTTTTTAATTGCAAATTCATGTTGTCTGTGGGCTAGGAAATTGGTTAAAGTGTCGTTACGGAAGTTATGGGCTGTCGAATTCGTCTACGTGAGCGATTTGAGAGTCCCATCAGTTGGCCCTAAAGAGTCAATGAAATTTATCGCCTTTGACATTCGCTGACAGACACAAAGCCAAATCATTAGACGTGACCTGAGAAGTCACGCTAAGTGACACATTGACAAATGACA